AGATTTTGTATAAGTGTAATTGACTATATGTATTTTTACAACATGTGTTCAGATATTTTTGGCGTATTTAGACAAATATTGTATTTGTACACGCATTACCTTTCTGTTACAGTTTGTTTAATCTATCAGTTTTTCAAACTCAGTCTTTTTCAAGTCAGTTCATGATGGTTATATATATATAATAATTTACCCAGAAATAGATGGAAGCCGGTGTGATCTTTGTTTTCTGTCGTATTCATGTTTTTCTTCTGTCTGTTAGAGCCTCACAGCAGGCTGCTTAAAAATCAATGGGGATTTTAGACGAATCCATTTAATCGGTGATCAAATCACCAGTCATCCAATAGAAATATGTTTATATTGTTTTTTTGTGGTCTATAATTGGTGGGAACAGAGTTGGGGATTTGCAAGGTTAGTGTTGTATTATATTAAAACACTTTATTTCCGTGATGTTTTTAATCTAAGGTGGTTTCGGTAAATACTCTCCCCCCCCCCCCCTCTGCTGTCTCATTTGGTACAGTCCAGCTGGAGCTGGGGCAGTCGGCGCTACTTTTGCCCGGATGTTTACTGTTAAAGTGTTTAAGGGAGCTGAGTTTCTGTCTTAAAGTAAAGCCGGAAAGTCACCAGCGCTTTTAAACACCCGATTCTTATCTTTCCCGTCAAATTCCGGGTTGACACACAAGCGGAAACGCTGAACTGGTCCCAGTTTGGTGTAAATCTGGTACCAGTCCGGGACGGTTCAAAGTGCGTGATGCCAGTGAACGGAGGGGGCCTGCTCTCCCTGAGCAGATATCCAACCCGGTACCTAACCGTAAGTATCGCGCCGTGGCTCGGAGTTGTAGGGAATGCCAGAGCTGGGGTTTGTTCTGGGGGAAAGTTTGTGTTTTAGAGGATACTTTAAGGAGCGTGCAGGCGGCTCCATGAATCCCTGAAGCCTGTTGCATCCTGCCGCACCTGCTATCGGCTCCGTCTGATTCACTAACCTTTCAGCTAGCGGTCGCCTCTGCGTTCAAACATTCAGGAACAAGCTTTAAACCATCTGAAGTAGATCCGTTTTGTTTTCATGAAGATCTGCTTCATTTACCGCAAGTCTAACGTATTATTTGTGCTTTTAGTGGACAAACCATCTTTTTACCAGGGAATTTTACCCACAGTTCTGTTGCTAACGGTCGGCAACAGAGGAAGTTTCCCTTTAGCTAATGGCTTCACTCTCATAGTAATCAGTTTATTTATGAACTATACTTTTTACTAAACTTTCTGACTTGAATAAGGTAACACGGCTGCTTTTCCGGTAGGGGGCATACTTGCACAACGTTTCCCTTCCGCCTGATGAAGGGTTTAAGTTTATTTATAATAATAATAATAATAATAATAATAATACATTTTATTTAAAAGCGCCTTTCAGGACACCCAAGGTCACTTTACACAAAACACGTAATAAAATACAATAAAACAATAATAAAACCCAAAGAAGAAAAAACAAATTTAGTTTAGGTAAACAACCAGAAACGCATCTGTAGGACCGCTGGAGGACCGAGGCTCGTATGTTTATAACCAACCGTCTTCATGCAAGAGATCTAATCTCAGGAATGTCCCTGAGTTCCGTTGCACCTTTCAGCTTTAGATAAACGTTGTGTTGTGCTTTTGTGTTGTTTAATGGAACAAAAAAATCTTAACTTTTAAAGATTGTTTCAGAAAGTCGGTTTGATTTTTTCCACATTGAACTCTGAGATTTGGTGTTTTTTAGATTAAAACTTGCAGATTGGTCTGAACTGACACCTGACTGGTGTTGGTTTGGTGATTGGAGCAAGGTTGTGTTTTTGTCTCCAGCTGATGCACCTGAGAGCTTCGGTTCATTCAGTCGTGTTGTCTTTCTGCTCTTATTTTTAACAATGGATTGATTTCATCTTTGCTTATCTGGTGCACCCTGTGATCATTTAGAGGTTAAATACTGAAACCGTAATCATGATGCTGCATGAGACGCTTCTGCCGCCCACATCCTCAGTCGTGTTTGTTTTTATCACTTTTGTTTCCTGCTTTTTTGCCTTTAATCTGTTGTTGGTTTTTATATCATACCAGAAATGATACTCCTAAGTTCCTGGCAGTTTCACGCTGATAAGCAGAAGTTTCAAACTGATTCACCCATGCAGGTTTTTTTGTTGTTGTAGGAATCCTACTCCCAGTGTGACAGCTTAAGGATCCTGTTTTATTGAAACAAACTCACATTTTATGCTCTCTGTACCAACTTCCACTAATGTATTACCACGTAAAGGTGACTTTCTGGTGTTTTACACATAACCTCTGACTGTTAACCTTCTTTCTGACATTTGTGAAACATAAATTTGTCTTTTTGCTACGAACAAAAGTATTTCCTGTTTCCAGCAACATCTATGGAAACATTTTGTGCTTAAATTAAACCTAAACTGTGTTTTCCAGTGTTTGATTATTCATAACGAATTAAATTGTCCTCATTTTATTTAATCTTCACAAAAATGTGTCATAATAATCATGTAAGTATCATAGAATAGAAAATTTTATGTATAAATATACATACTTTCAGAAAAGTGCACATCCTTTTATTTTTATTTAGTGAAATCCACTGTGCCACTGTTCCAGCTGCATGCTCCCACCGAGGCAATAGAGGCTGTTTCTATTCTCGTCTATTACTGTGAAGAGTGAGATGGTTAGCTGTGGTCTGCTGCTTATCTGAAGGCTTTATCTGCTCTTTGATCATTAAAAATAAACACGGAGGGTTTTAAATATAGCTTCCTGGGCTTTTTTCTTTTTTTCGTGAGTAATTTGTTTTCTAAGTCGCATCCTGTTGTTATGATCTGGTATTTCAGTCTCTCTCTCTTCATTAGAAGAAATGTTTGTCCTTCCGTTATGTAAGGGCGTGTGCTCAGGAGTCTAGGACTTATCCAGCAGGCGTGTCTCCGAGCGGCCATCACCATCACATTGAGGAGAACAAGGAGACAGTCCCAGTAAAACGGCCTCGGCCTTGCCAGCAGTGGTTGAAGAGATGCTGAAATCTACAGCTGATTTATCTCGGGCTTAACAAGTGACCTTGGAGGGAGAGCGGTTTAAGACTGATATTATTAGGGAGTTTGTGATGATTTAAGTTTCTGCATGCAGGCGGTCCTGTGGGCTCTGCAGCCTGAACCATGTCCCAACATTCCCGTGTATTGGTCTGAACATGAAAGGAAAAGCTAGGCTATGATGGGTTTTCTTTTCCTGAAACGGCTGAAATTTGCACGCCGCTGCGTGAGGCAGCTCTACAGTTTCAGCTGCATCCATGTTTTCTGGAGGCGTTTGTGGACCGGCTCTTGTGCGTTTCATCGGAGCGCTCCTTCACAGAAGTTGGTGTGTCTGCATGTTTACACTTTGTGCAGACGGTGGGATTTGTGCAGAATGTAGGCCAGCAGAATCCCTCTTACGTCAACGGCAGTTAGGCGGGCAGATGCAGGGAGAGAGCTGCCGCTGGTGCAGCTGTGGCCATGGAGGAGGCTGTGGCGCTCATCCGTCCGTCAGAGCACCGCTGGCGGTGAGCAGGGACAGACGCAGACAGGAGCCCCAGCCATGAAGACCGTCCTCAGCCTGCACAGGAAGTGGGCCCATGCGGTCAAGACCATCCGCATCCTGCAGGGACTCGTAAGTGTGATCTGGCTGCCGTCGCGCTGGTTTCATTTAAATCTGGGTCCTGGTCAGGCAGCTGGACCCAGCTGGTTCTGTCGGGGAGGGTTGATCTTCAGCCAGGTCCAGTTTTATCTAAACAAAAATGTTTTCTTTGCAAAAAATGGTAGAAAATTGACATTTTATCCAGTCTGATTTCCATCCATTGATTTGTGGAATTTGAGGACAGGAACTATTGAGTTGTGGTTTGTTTTTTATCTGCTGTGCCAGAAGTTTCTGCCCGAGTTGCTGTTTGCTGTTGGTGATGAAAATCGTAAAACCGAGGATAACTGGAGCATTTTAAATGACCCGCACTTGTATAACGCCTCTCAGAGTAAGGACTCCAAAGCGCTTTACACTACAGTGTATCATTCATCCATTCACACACTGATGGTGATGAGCTACGATGTAGCCACAGCTGCCCTGGAGCGCGCCGACAGAGGCGAGGCTGCTGAGCACAGGCGCCACCGGCCCCTCAGACCACCACCAGCAGGCAAGGGGGTTTAAGTGTCCTCCCCAAGGAGCAGGGATCGAACCTGCAACCTTCCGATTACTGGACAACCCGCTCAACCTGTTGAGCTGCTGCTGCCCCGATGCTTATGATGCAAATAAAATCCATAATTGTCTCGGTTTTGGCTCTGATCGCATTAAAGCATCTCACTGATGGGAGAGCAGTTCCAGGCGCTACATCCTGAGAAGATTTGTACATTTTTAAGTTTGAATTGCACCAAATTCAAAGAATAACTTTTTGGTAACAAGTTTTTTTAAGAGCCAGCTCACATAAGGCATGCAATGTTTGTTGTTGTTGTTGTTTGTGTCTTCCTCTTTGTGTCTCGGTTTGTTTGCAGTTTATTTGCAATTTTGGTAGAAAATTTGTCCCCAAGTTGTTTCAAGTTTCTTTTTGACTGACCAAAGCTAAACAGAGTGGTGTTCCTGATGACCAAGAGGACTATTCTGAGAACTAATTTGCACATTTAGCACAACACTGAAGCAACAGGAAGGTCCTACAAGGTGGAAGTAAAGTGAGAAACTTTAAAAAATGTTTGAACGTTTTGGAAAGAATGGCTTTACTTTTGCAGGTTTGTGCCTCCTGCAGCTTGTTGATGGTTTCTGGATAGCCAGTGACTAATATCATCATCCGCTGATTCAACAAAAGCTTGACAAACGCACGTAAACGGCTCCGCCGCCCGTCGGCGTTCTGCTGTTAGCTCCTGGTTGTGTAACAGCGGCGTGGGCTAACGAGCGGGCTTTGTTACATCACGTAATACGTTATTAATCTGTTGGGTGGAAACACAAAGACCACCCATGGTAATCTTTGCCTTTTCTCCCCTCAGAACCCGGTTATGGAGGAGACGGTATGGGAGCAGTACACCGTGACCCTGCACAGAGTGAGTCCATCTGCATCATTTACAAGTCCTCCTAACAAAAGACTCGAGCTGCTGTCCCGAGTGCTTCACATGAGCGGCTCTGAATTATTCATTAGGTGTTTCAAGTCACCATCAGCAGCACACGGGCATGCATGCATGCGCGCGCACACACACACACACACACACACACACACACACACAACCACAAGTACGTACCGTTTGAGCCAAAAATAATCCGTTCACTCACAGTGGATGGGATTATTTTTAACTTCCTGTTTTAGTCGGTTAAAATGATTGCATGTTCAGCCTTCTGCGTTTGTCTGCTTTGATTAAACTTTTGAGACGGGAAAGTTTGCTTTACGTTGCTTTAGTTGGCAAAAACTCTAGGAAACGCCACAGTGGCAACATCTGCTAAACAAACTGGTTTAAAGGTGTGGAACACTGAAAAACTACATTTTAAATGTTTTTTTTCTGATTCTAATGGGTCACTCTGAGTGTTTCATGCAGGCTGAACGTGAAAATAGTCTCCTACACCTATCCCCTGCAGTAGCTTCTGACAGGAAACAGACGGTGAAACTCTAGGATTAGAAAATCCTGACAGGTCTACGTCACCCTGTCACCTAACATTCATGGACTCACTCCTGACTCACGACGGGGAAGGCCGTTGTTGGTTTAGCGCCCAGGAAACAGCAGAGAATGTCTCTGCTAGTAGACGCTAGGGCTGCTCGATTATGGCAAAAACAATAATCACGATTATTGTGACTGAAATTGAGATCACGACTATTTAAGACGATTTTTCAATTTATGTTGATTTTATTTGTTTTTATTCAGTCATAAAATTGCTCAGGGCACAATCAGGACGAAAATAAGAAACAAGATGATCACTAAAATAACTCCTGATTCCCAGTATAAAAAGACCAATATACTTATAGCTCATAGTCTATGACCCAAGGACTATAGACCTTGGTTTAACTCATGTAAGTCTAATCAGTACAGACCCAAATACCAATATCTTACAAATACTGACAGCAAGAATTATACAGTGGCTTTTATAACAAATAAATGCAAATAAATTGATGTTCACAAAATGTTGCATAACATTTATTTAGTCATGTCAAGGTGCTGTAGGAGAGTGCACTAGCACCGTGTCCTCAGAGAGGTTAGTTATTATTTATCAGCTTGAGGAACTTATTTCTATCTATTTCTACCTTATTTATAAACTATTTGTTTACAAGTCCATCAGTTAATGTAATAATTGTCCCAACCACAGCTGCACCCCCCACCCCCCAACCCGGTCTCACAGCAATCGGGGCAAGCTGCACGTGTGTTTAGCACGCCGCACGCGCACATTTAGCTGTTTTTAGTGGCTCAGGAGTCCGCAGGTGCGGTGTGTGTGTCACTCACTCTGGTTACTCCAACAGGGAGCCGGCTCCGAGAGCTGTCTTTAGCGACTGACACATCACTACATCATTCCCTTTCCTAATGTCCTGAAGAACGGTCAAGAGCGCAGGCGGAGCGTTTAGCTAACCTGCAGGAAACGTCGACCACAGTTATCCAGAAAGTAGCTAAGGGTTACCAGAGATGTTTCTCAGGTGTTCGCTAGGTATTTTTAAGTTAAAAAGTCAAGAAGGGGGTCTGAAAAGCTGCTAGAAATAGCGTCACAGTCACTAAGTTGGCAACACTGTGGGAGGAGCGCTTCATTTGCAACTCAGGGCAGCACAAGCGGGAGGAGCAAATAATCGGCTTGTTTTGTTTTTTATAATCGTTCAAAACTCAGATCGTAATTGTGATTAAAATTCGATTAATTGAGCAGCCCTAGTAGACGCTAACTATTAGCATTAGCTACTCCACCACACAGCAGAACTCCTGTGGGTGAGAGTTCTGTGATCGTGTTTTTGTTTTACAATTAGCTTTTTCTGTAGATTTGCTATAACAGCTCTAAGTAAAATTTAAGCACTAATGACAAAAATCATGAAGTAAAGGTTTGATTCATAGAAGAAACCAAACTGGGTTTAATATCTGATTTCTGTCTAGTTGTGATAACTGTGCTATGTGTAAAAGTATTGTCAAATGAGCTGAAGTTTGATTTGGAATCATCTTCCATCATCCGTCTCCTCACGGACAGTCTGTGTGTTTACACCAGATAATAACCATTTACACACGGACCGTCACAAAACCCAACTATTTCCCCACATAGACTGATGTCTGTTGTAAATGCGTTGGTCTTGCTGAAGCACCCAGGTAATGTGGTAGGAAAATGGCTTCATCTGCATGGCTCATTCAGGCTCAGACTGGTAACTTCTGTAAGTGACAACATCGCGGAAGCGGTCTTCTGACTGATGTCGCCGCTCCAAAGTGACCCTTGTAACACCATCAAACAGAGCAGTACGTGTGCTGCAGCGTTGTCCATTCCTTCAGCCATTGTGCGTCTCCTGCCAGCGTTTGTTTAGCTTTTGTGTTGCTATAAGCTAACTGGAAGAATGTCGCCACCTGCTGTACCTGAGTGGAACAAACTTCATTTGAGAGTTTGGTTTTCTAACATACGTGTAAACTAGGATAAAGACTCCCAGTTTATTACTTTAGAACGACCTAGATCGACTTGAATGTGCATGTAAACACACCCAGTGTCTCTAAACCAGACAACATGGCTGCTGTCATTACTGTCGTCTACACCTGAAACCCTCCTGTCACGCGTCACACCAGATACTTTTCTCCACACACTCCAGCTTGCTTCACACGCTTCACCTCTTTTCCACCGTAGACCCTAAGGACTTCCTGTCCTTGCTGTAGCGGCACCGTTCCACATCTGCCTCTCTCATTTACACACATGTACTCTGTCCTGCTGTGACTAATCCTCATTCATTAATACCATAAAAAATAAAAAGGCCTTAAAATAGATTTTAAAAGTCTCTGGAAAAAGGATTTTTAATCTGAGTTATGTTTTTGGAGTCCGGTTTGCCGGTGCATAAATAATCTGAGCGAAGCCATCTGGCTCTGCTGTGGTTGGAGGGTGTTTACTCTTTGTGCCACCAGCCAGCGGTCAGTTTTCACACTCTGAAAACACGTGCAGACCAGTTGAGCTTGGGTAATGTCACTGATGAGCTCATCGTCTCGTGCTGCATCTCACCGAGGCCAAAAAAGCAGATTTAGTTCAAAAAGGTCTTGAGCTGCAGGCGTGTGACCTCTGCGTGTCGACCTTCCTGCAGCCAGCTGTCACACTCGGCTCCGTTCATCCATGTTTTATTCTCCTCTAACGGTTATTATCTGGTAAATCTGTGCACTAATGTGTCCCTACTAGCATCTCTGCCCCCCAGAACATCCATCTTTTTGTTTTAACTCAACGTCCAGGGTCTAATGTTTTACATTCATCAGGGATCTTAGACATTTAGCTTGATTTTTGCCTGCAGGTTTTGGCCTAAAAAGCACACAAGGTCAACAAACACATGTGAGAGGAGACAGCATCAGCATGAATCTGAGTACACGCTAAGGCTGCTCGATAAATTTTTTTTTTGGGGGGGGAGGGGGGGGGGGGCAAAATCATTATTGTTTTGGTGAATATAACATTCATTTAACACGATTATTTACTGAGCTTTAAAACCTTTATTTGGTTCTCATGTTAAGGTGGAACGCACAGAATGCTGTGGTGCAGATTTTCAAAATAAGAGTTTTAGATGGTTTATGTGTGTGTGTGTGTGTGGGGGGGGGGGTTAAGCAGTAAACAACTCGTCTGTTTTAATTCAAACGAGGTTGATCATCTGAACTTGACTTGTGTTCACAGATGTAACACAAAATCTTATTCATCGGGGCACAATGTCTGAATCTGAACGATGAGATTCAGATGAAAACACACACCGCCAACAGAAGTTAAAGAGCAAGTCACTCCAAATCGACATTTTTTTTTTTGCTGATAAACTATATAAACGAGTGTCTAGTCGTGCTGCAGACACGTGTAGTCAATAATTCGACACTTTAGTGCATCTTAGTTAAAATTGTAATAATCTGCCTAAAACTGTCAGTGTTGCACCGTCGTCAGGTAAAACTCTGCACTGCATTTGAATTTAAATCTGCCGTCGCTATTGGCTAAGAGGTACACTGTGATGTTAGATGGTACATTATGATGTCACAATGTCGTGCGTGTGTGTGTATTTGTTAGTGGCTCCACCCTCTCGGTCTGCTAAGCAACAGCATTTGTTGCATTTTTCAAACAGGAAGTGGGAGTTGAGTAAGAATCTGGTAGGGGGTGACTTGCTCTTTAAATAAAATAAAAAATATGGATTTTATTAACCATAATGACCAGTTGTTTGTAAAGGGTCCCCAAACTCGTGTCACTTCCTGTCTTGTGGTTCCTCTCGTTTATATCCAACAAAACCGAAGCCGAGCACAAATCCAGGTACACCTTTTTATACGTTGTAATTATTTCTGTTTACATTCTTGGCACCCGATACAAAATCGTTTTTAATAAAATCGGCTGAGGAAAACTCAGGAATGCACGACTGTATTTTGCTTGATGGTAAATGGTAAATGGCCTGTATTTGATACAGCGCCTTCTAGAGTCCTGGAGCCCCCCAAGGTGCTTTACAACACAATCAGTCATTCACCCATTCACACACACACATTCACACACTGGTGGGGATGAGCTACGATGTAGCCACAGCTGCCCTGGGGCTCACTGACAGAGGCGAGGCTGCCGAGCACTGGCGCCACCGGTCCCTCCGACCACCACCAGCAGGCAACGTGGGTTAAGTGTCTTGCCCAAGGACACAACGACAGCGACAGACTGAGCGGGGCTCGAACCTGCAACCTTCCGATTACGGGGGTCTGAGGCTGGCGGGAGGAGATGATGTCGGCATCTTCATCGCTGGTGTTCAAGAGGACAGTGCCGCTGAGCAGGAGGGTCTTCGCACAGGAGACCAGATCATGAAGGTGTCGCCCCAATGATGATGATTATTGTTTACATCGTACCATTATCACAATTTCACACAAGTAGGAAGAACTTTATATCTGTTTATTTTATTAAAGTCAGTAGTTTTTTAATCAAAGTATTTCATGAATGTTTTTTCTAATTAAAATAAACAGCCTTGTTGTCGGTCTATAAAGCTTCTCAACATATTTATATTCAGGTTTTTTCTTCCATTGAAAGTCTTTAGCCTGAATTTATACCCTGAAATAAAACGTTCTGTTTAAGGGAAGCTCCGCCAACGCCTGCTCTGACAAATACGTCTACTACAGCGAGTTGGTTGCCAGTGGTTAAGGCATCTGTCTGCCGTCTCAGATTTGCCATGCGCTGATGTGGGTTTGAATCCCGGTGATGTCTGCAGTAATTTATTTAGCCAGCTAAAGCAGATTCCTGTTAACTATTTCCTGCAAAATATTTAGTCTCTTTGAATTTGGTCATTTCCAAACAGCATTTTAGTTGATACTCTGCTCACCTCACATAGACTCACACTGGCTAGATAAACAAATAAAAAAACAGCAGATTAGTCCTCTAATTTAAACAGTTTACCAACAAAGGGTTGAAAACATTCTGGCAGGTGTAGCTAAAAAAAGACGAATAAAGGTTCCCCGCTTCCGTCAGCTTTTCTGTTAGCTGGGGATTGTTGCAAAACATTTCCCCACCAGGACACCAGAGGGCGTAGCGCTATTTTGAGGTATCCTGCCACCATTACAATCACGCATCCGGTCCACGGTAGTGTATTTACTGTTGTGTTTACATAGTTTTAATGTATTTCAGAAACTTTGGAGCACAGACGAGTTAGTCCCTCATGTTCTTTTACCTTCTAAGCCCACGTTTCTCGTCTTTTCCATCCACGGATAAAACGGTTTCTGCATATCTTTGTACTTCAGTCCTGGATGAATAAACGTTCATATTTTCAGACATTGTTCGTGATGCGTTCCTCAATTTGTTCCACGTCTGCCGCAAAAAGCAATAAGAATTATAAAAAGAAGCAATTACAGAGATCCGTCCAACCAATTATTTATCAAATTAAAAACATTAAAATTTTATGACCTAGTAGATTATGGTAGTTTGAAATTTATATATAAAGTCGACAAAAAGCACCTTCCAAAGAATTTGATTTTAAGATTTATGGAAAGAAAAGAGTAGTTATGATTCGAAAGGCAATCAAATAAACACGATACCAAAACAGGATAAATATAAAGGAACGTTGTGTATCCATGTATGGAGACAAAATGTGGAATAAATTAAGTACCGAAATCTAGAATACCAAAACAATATATACCTTTAATAAACATCAAAAATGAAACACTTAGCTTATATGATGCTATGAGATGGACGTATTTATGAAGTAGAGAGAATGAAGGGAAAACACACATTGTTTGTTCTACTTTGTTTCATTTTAGCTATTTTTTTGTGCGTGTTTTGCATTGATTGCTTTCTCCTTTCATTAATATAAGAAAAAAAATATTTTTTGTGCATTTTTATTTTCTCCATTTTTGCCTAAGTTAAAACGGTAAACCAGGTCAGACATTTTTTTTAACTACAATAACTTTGTTGTCATTTGCATTTATTTTGTTTAAGGGGAACAGATAACATAAGTTTTGCTTCTTTCTGTTCCTGTTTCATTTTTTGTTTTTGCAAACCTATTTTGTTTTTATTTGTGAATAAATGAAAATCAACTTAAAAGAAACTAAATAAAAAATATATATTCACGTTTTGACAGGGCAATGACGAATTTACAGGAAGCAGCGTCCTGACTAATCACAACTTGCGTCACTTTCAACGGATAGTTAAAAATTGGTGCATGTCTTTGTTACCCTCTGCGAGCCCGTCGGAGGGCCCTTGCGCTGATGTATAATGGCATTGAGTGTCTCTTTACCGAAGTATAGACTAGTTTCCATTGATGCCTTATGAGATTTTCAAAGTACAACTCAAAATTTGCCGCTGAAACGGAAAAATGCATGAATACAGCCAAACATTTATTTTTTTCACGAGGAACAACATCTCATCTCCAAAAGTGGATTTCCATGATATGGCCCCTAAAATAACTATATAAATCTAATAAAATAAGCTATATCCAAACGTTTTAGCTAAACTCAGATTTACGATGTACATCTCAATGTTTTTGTTCATGTAAAGTATTTACAAAGAAGCAGTTAGTAGTCAAAGCTACAGGTCTTGCATGTCTCATATATTTATATAAAATTTTCTATTCTAATTGTGGCAATAAGAAATTAGCTGCTTCCCAGGGTCACAAACACCTTGTTTGATGGAATTGACGAGAGCAGACGTCATCCAGAATTAGAAGAGTTGCAGGTGAAGCAGAATGGAAGCACAAGCAAATAAGCACCATTCTCGCAGCTTTACAGCTGCTGTTATTAAATTCCCAACACCCAAAAACATGAAAGAATAAAACTTTTGTTACTGTGGATGCTTTTTGGCGCCGATCATTGACATCACCCACTGCCAAAACGTTTGCGATATGCTGGCGTCTTTGCAAAGTCCTGAAAGAGCTGAATTTGTGTAGAAACACAACGGCAGAGAGGAACAGTCTTTCCTGCTCAGTTTCCCCCTCCCAGAATTTCCCCGACATCTGAAACGCGCCTCATGCTACCTTATGAGGAATTTTGGCCACTGCAGGCCCCCGTACCTGTTACAGGGTGGTTGACCCACCTCTCCACACAAACGGGGAAAACAAACCCGTCAGTCGTGGTGAAAAGTATCGCAGAAACACCAGCCTCCCTCTAAAAGTACAAAGTGTGAAGCTGAGGGTGAAGTTGAAAGCAGAACAAGAAACCAGAGATTTTTAGAAATCTTGAGAACAACTTTTCTGTAGGTAAGGCTGGACCAATAGCAGGTGGTGATGGGTTCTTTATGGGTTTAAGAAGACACGGGAGAAAAGCCAGTTGACACTGGACAGTGATGATCTCCAAGCCTCCTTATCACATCAAGTTGGGACTATTTCAATACTTTACTGATGTCAGGATTGCATAACCAGGAAATGGACCGTACACACACACATGAATTGAAATCGAGTTGGCAGACCACATGTTTTAGCAGATTCTGACAGGCAAGATGTTATTTATAAAAGAACTATGCTGACCTTCGACCTCTGTTCTCAGGCACACCTTTATAGCTCCAATTAGGGCTGCACGATATTAGGAAAACCTGCGATATGCGATAACAGCGATTAATATTGCGATGGCGATATTACTTGCAATAAATATAAACTTCATTCCGGAACAAAAATAATCAAAAGCAAAGAAATAAAAAATGTGACAAAAATATCATAAAAATGAGAAAAGCAAAAGATGTGAGGAAAGGGAAAAAGAAAATGAACAAGAAAAGGCGATCAGTGGATCCCGGGAAAAGCAGAACAAAGCTACCTCAGGTGTTTGCTAACCATCCAAATGAAGTGTCGGAGGCGGGCGTCTAACCTATGAGAACCCACTCTATTGGCCAAATGGGTGAAGAGCTCTATTTGATTTGTTAAAAAGACTTCATGCTTCCATTTGTTGGACAGAACGCATTATGTGTAGCGAACATTTGGACTGACCATTCATTGCGATATTTATCTGTTCTTTGCGATATCAGGGTATCCGCGGGTCCTTAAAAAGTCTTAAAAAGTCTTAAATTTGGCTACCTTAAACCTGCAGATACCCTGGATATGCATATTGCGCATGCTGATATCGCGATAACGATATATTTGCGATATATTGTGCAGCCCTAGCTACAATCGAGAGCTTCTGACCAAAAATGGACATTTAACATGAAAAGTGTGGTTCTGAATCATGGGTAAACAACTGCTGCTCCACTGTGGTTCCTCATGTTTATTTGTAAACAAAATATTTTCTTTTTTGACACCAGGATCCCAAAATGGGTTTTGGTATCGCAGTGTCTGGAGGACGGGACAACCCAAACGAAGACACGGGCGAGACGTCTATCGTGGTGTCTGACGTCCTGCAGGGCGGGCCTGCTGATGGATTGCTGTTGTGCGTAGAACTTCTTACCTTTAATTTAATGGTTGACTTGTGCTTTTGGTGTGGGGGGTTAACAGATCTGTTTGTGTTCAGTGAAAAGGATCGAGTCATTCAGGTGAACGCCATCCTCATGGAGGGCGCCCAACACTCCTTCGCTGTTCAGACGCTCAGGAAGTGTGGAAAAGTGGCCAAAATCGTAAGTTTGTTTTCTTAGTCATTAAAAATGGGCGATCCAGATGTTTCTGCTGCGGTTTAGAAAATTAAATTAACTGTCAAGCTTCATACCAAAGAGCGTTGGCATCACATCCCAAAAACAGAATCACAATGTTTTCAAATAAAGCGGAAATATTGTTTCTAACGTGAAGTGAAAACTATTTTCAGAAAAAGATCTTAATGGAGGCGCATTTATAGATGTGAGACGCAAGCTTTAGGCTAAATCTGTAGCAGCGTCCACAGAGAGTCTGAAGTTCCTGTCATTCTTCACAATAAGAGTCTGAATCATACAGACAAACCTCAGCTTAAGCTTACAAAAATATTTTATTAAAACTGTTTGGGTTTGATCAAAAAATGGTATCAATGAACCATTTTAGAAACTGAGCTACACCTGTTTCAGACTCTTAATGTGAAGGTTTAAAGGAAAGTTCTGACTTCCTGTGTGGACGGTGCTGCAGAAGAAGCTGTAGTGTGTAAAAACACATCCAGAGCCTTGGATGAAATAATAATATAAACAGAATAAATTAAGTTCTGTCACCAACTTGGTCTCAACAGTTCCTCTTTAGTTTTTCTTCTTCACGGCTCGCATTCTTGGACTTCTTCTCTGATTTTATGTCTTTCTTTTGTGAAATCATTCAGACTGTTAAGAGGTCCAGGAAGGTTCCGGTTCCCGTGCTGAACCGCCCTCCGTCACCTGACGACAGAGTCTTCAGCAGCGACTACAACAATGACTACAACTACGATCAGGACCGCCACAGTATGTACAGCGGAGGTGGGCGGGACCACAGCCTTGAGAAGGAGCGGGGTGGGGGTGGATACCTGGATTCCGGCTACCAAACCCGCGACCGCGACTACACCCGGCAGGAGCGTGGCAGGAGTGCTCAGAGAGACCTGAGCCCAGACAGGAACTACAAAAGAGATGGCAGCAGAGGACGCACCTTGGACCGGGACTACAGCCCCGATCGCCGCTACAAGAGCGAACACACGCTGGACCGCGACTACAGCCCGGACCGAAGTTACCGAGGCTACAGCCCCGACCGGCGCTACCGCAGCGAGCGAGCCCTGGACCGGGACTACAGCCCTGACCGGCGCTTCCGCAGTGAGAAAACGCTAGAGCGAGCGCACAGCCCTGAATCCCGTTACGGGAGAGATGGCTACAGCCCCGGGCGGGGACGTGATCGAGACCAGAAGAAATACGATGAGCCGGTGAGACGAGGCGCTAGCAGGGACCGCCTGGAACGGTCGCCCTCTCCTGCTGCAGTACCCGTCCCTCTGCCCCGCCCCGCCCGAGACCTGGAGCCTCTGGAGAAGCCTGTGAATGTGATGCTGCTGAAAAACCATCCCAACGAAGGTGAGAAACCAGCAGACCCAGCTAGCACTCACCTGGTAGCCTTGAGTTTGACTTGAGACTTTGAGAGGGGAGGGCCTGGTGACGCAGCGTGCCGAGTCTGTGGTTTTGATTGGTTAGGAGTAAGTAGGGAGTCTAGTATGCTGCTACCTGATAGGTTATAACGAAAAAAGGAAACTTTTTAAATCAAAGTTTAATCGACCAGCTGTTTATCTATCGCACCACATCTATCGATAGAAATATTGAACTATTAAATTATCGTCCAGCCCTAGGTTAACATGAGTCTTTTTTTTTTCCTTAAATGCTAACTCTGCTAACGTTCTTAGCATTGCTTCCTCACTGTGCTAGTAAAGAACCAGCATGTATCTTTTAGCAACCCAAGGCGGAAGCGTGTTGACGAACTGCCATAGTTATGAATGTGGGTGAACTCGTGCTATTTAAAACCTTTGTCTTTATTTGGTTGTGGCGTCTTAGATGTGGCCTAGATTGTCCAGTGAACATTGTCAGATCGTTGTCCTTGGCAGGTCCTGTACGGATGCCACGGAGAACACAAACTTTACTGTTGCCCAGAAATGATTCAGCTGAATAAAAGGTCAGGAAGTGTCAAACGGGGTCCGTGGCATAGACAAGTCGACTCATGCCGAGAGCTGTGGGTGGGCGATGGGCCCAAACTTAATATTTCTAGTATTCTTACGATGATGACGAGAAAATGGACGATGCAGCAAAGTACAAAAACTGTATTTTGATATTCATTCATAGAAATGTTGGCAGCAATACTAGGGCCTAGGGCTGAACGATCGATCGTTTTTGGACTGAAATAGCGATTTCAAACGGCACAATCACGTGACCGTTAAAGCTGCGGTTTTAGCGGTTTTGACTGATCCAGGATCAGTTGTGTAACTTTTTTATATACGGGGTTTTCCCCGTGTGTTATGGTGGCGGCAAAAGCCAGCGCAGGGGAGGGGGGTGGGGTGTACCGGCCAGAGCCGAGCCCAACTCCACAGCTGTCAGAGCTGCATGTTCAGGTTATTTCCCTGTTTAATGTTCCCACACACAGCGCTGCTAGAGCCGATAGTGATGCACCGTAGGTGAGCCCGGGACAGAGAGAGAGAGAACGTAGTTGAGTAAGGGAGAGAGAGACTCCTCCCACATCAGCAGGTTCAGGCTGGTTTCTAAAGGTTGGTTTATGCTTCATCAGCGCGAGAGCGGAGTCGCGCACTTTAGTTGACTTGAAAACTCAACTTGTCTTTTAAAAATGGTTTGAATGTTTCTGACGGCACACGCTAGTTCAGACAAGCTAAAGCTTGGTTTATGCTTGACGCATTTACTTTCCGCTTGGTGATGCGGCTCGCGGATGGAACGCGCTTCACAACTTGCAGCGTTTATGGTTCATGCGGCTCGTCTCTGCGGTGAGCCAATATTCTCCCAAACTGTAGGGGGCAGCATGGAGCTCTATGGCATGCATCCAACACTACACCATAGTAGAAGTAGAAATAACTGTTGTTTACAACATGGTATTCCAGCATTTTTAACTGTGTCCTCGTCTTTTCCGACAGTGCGAGCTATTTCTCTCCAAGAATTATTAACAACATGTTGATCACGGTGATCTCTGAGAGCTGAATCATACAAATGTCTGTGTTTACGGACCTCTGCCATACTAGTTCTTGCCGGTTCGCCATGTTTTTCTGCATCCGACCGTCCGCGTGGTTAGAAAATTTCCTAGGTGCGCGTTGCGGAAATTTTGGGCCGTGCGGAGGCGCGGTGGAGGGGCGTGGTTGTTAAAATGACGCAATTTTGCCGCGCGGAGCCGTGCGAACCTCGCGGACACGTCAAGCATAAACCAACCTTAAGGTGTCAGGATGCGTGCGTCTCTCTCACGGAGCTGACGTTAGTGAGGAAAAGCTACCAGACGGCTTCAGCCTGCCTTATGCAGGAAAACTGTGTGCTGTTGTTATTTAATGCAGTTAAAAACTTTTTCTACCTACAGATTTCCTCCATGCAGGTTTGCAGTAGAACATGTTTTTATAAAGCTCCTCTAGATAAAAATCACAAGTTGCTTCACAAACACATAAAAAAGATAATAATGGGAGAAAATATTAGAAGCTTTAACTGTTTTAATTGTATGATTAAATAGTAAATATTAATGTGAGTGATTTGTTGTACTAGATTAGAATCTAGATCATCTCTTCACTTCATCTACAGGATGGCTTGGCAGGCTAGTGTTGGACCTTTGTTTGCAGAAAATCGTGAATTGAACCAAAATTGCAATTTCTGCTGGAAAAATTGTGATTCAATCTTTTCCTATAATCGTTCAACCCTACCAGGGCCCTATGAAGTCCGTTTCACAGTGGGCTGCTGGTTTGATGCCTGTCTGTTTGTGTCGGCCATGGTGGTTGAGTAGATTGTGTGTCCCAGGGCAGCTGTGGCTACAATGTAGTTCATCACCATCTGTGTGTGAGTGAATGTTTGTACTGTAAAGTGCTTTGGAGTTCTGCATGTGTGATGTCATCAGTGGCTACTTTAACTGCATATGAGCGGCTTGTATTTTTCATCAATCTAATGGACTCTCTCTGACCTCCATCTCCCGCGTCAGTCGGGATTACAGCGGCTGAGATGCTGAAACACACAGGAAATGACGGTTTATCACTATGGAAACCGATCACGGCTACTGAGTGTTTTGTCTAACATCACGTAATCTCTTGTATTAATCGACTTGACATGAAATTGTCTGAATGTATTGTATTTGAGTCCAAACAGCACAGATTTGTTTTTGTTTTTATTTAATCCAGAGTACGGCCTTCGTCTGGGCAGCCAACTCTTCATCAAGGAGATGACCAGCACAGGACTCGCTTGGAAAGACGGCAACCTGCAGGAGGGGGACATCATCCTAAAGGTAGTGTCCTAACGAGACCTGGGCGATAAAACGGTAGCAATATAAACGGTTTCTACTCCATAACGGTGTGAGAATCGTGTGTCTGGAGTAGAGCTGCGAGAGGTTAGATCACCCAGAAAGCACAGTAACACTTCAGCGCTAACAGCCCACGTTTATGCTAATGTTGCCTTTTACATCAGAAACTGTTAAGCCTGAGAAAAGCTGGCTTAACGCGTCATAAGCTTAGACACGCCCCCTTACAGTAGCATGTCCCAAACCTGTTCGCCAGCCATATTTAAATGAAGATGGCAGTAATGCTAACAGCAGAGCAATGCTAGCTCTAACTACTGTTAACGCTAACCTAACCTACTCCTAACATCCTTTTTTGACAAGAGAAAACAACAAAGAAGAATGCTGGAGCACACGTAACGTTCCAGGATGTACTGGGAATACCCAGACGTTGAACGAATCCCAGATAGTCATCCGGATACCGAACATGGCTGTACATGGTCTCTAGCTTCAGGCGGTCATAGAGCCATCGCTGTAAAGCTCCCAGTCTGCATGAAGCTCATTTCTTATTCATGCGCTGGCTGAGTGGGCGGGGCCAACCAGCTTTTCCATTGTGGAGCTTTAATGTTTGGTTGTGGTTGGCCATGTATCGGGGCTCTTGGGCCATTTAGAGCCCCAACAACGGTTTGTAGTTGTTTAAAAAACATTTTTCTACAAACTCTTAAAATAACTATTTAAAAAGAGTGAGATTTATCGTGATATTGACTGATATGAAAATCATAATAGTGATTTTTTTCCCGTATCACTGCTCCCTGCCAGCGTGTCATAGAACACGCGTTTTCATTTAAACGCTTTTTGTGGCTTAAGTCGCCTGAACATCTGTTTCAGATCAACGGCACGGTGACGGAGAACCTGTCCCTCAGCGATGCGGGGAAGCTGATCGAGAAATCCCGCGGGAAGCTGCAGCTGGTGGTGCAGAGAGACCGGCGTCAGATTCTGATCCGAATCCCGCCGATGACCGACAGCGACTCGGAGCTCGATGGTGAGAGACCCTCGAAAATGAAAGGCAGCAGGAGCTACCCGGTGTGAATGCACGCGTGGCGAACGTGCAGTCTGTCGCCAGCATCACCATCTTCATCATCATATAACCCCCCCTCCTCACCCACCCAACACATGTGAACTTCATGTTTAATCACTCGAGAAACGTTTGTTGGCATTCCTTCATGTCGCTGTAACCTGTTTTACGCTCATTATTAAATAAAGCTTTTACTCACATCACTTTATGTGCAGAGATTTTTCAAAGACACTCAGATCCATCAACGGTCACCGTCACACCTCCACCACACTGCCTTCTTTCTCCTTTATACCTGTTTTTCATGTCACATGACCAGAGAGTGGGCTGTGATTGGGCAGGGCCAGGTGGTGGTTGGAGGGAGGAGGAACAACCCAAAGACTTGTGACCGTGTGTGTGTGTGTGTGTGTGTGTGTGTGTGTGTGTGTGTGTGTGTGTGTGTGTGTGTGTGTGTGTGTGTGTGTGTGTGTGTGTGTGTGTGTGTGTGTGTGTGTGTGTGTGTGTGTGTGTGTGTGTGTGTGTGTGTGTGTGTGTGTGTGTGTGTGTGTGTGTAAGTGTTGGTTCGCCTCTAGCAGGCTGATCTAATCCCCGATCATAATCCTGCTGCTGGATATGACGGTGTGCCGTTATGTTCAGGTTCTCGCTGCTGCAGCAGAACCGCTTCCTGAAGAACCTTCCAAGGGTCCAAACGGCTTTGTGCAGCTCTGTAATTAATCTGATTGTTTTATAGAAACCCGATCGGTCTCACCGTCCACAGATCCGACCTCGTTTGTATTTATTTGCTTTGTTCCCAGTAAAAACCTTATAAAAAACAGCTCTTCTGATGAGCTTTTGTCTCAGAACTTGAGAACGGAGCCGCTCGTTTGGCTTCAGAAAACAGACTTTTTTCATTTTGTTTGTCGTGTTTTGCAGATATCTCTGAGATCGAGTCGTACCGCTCTTATTCTCCACAGGACGACCGCCGAGGTCACCACTCTGACCTCTCGTCCCACTCGTCCAATGAGAGACTTCGAGATAAACCCAGGTATAGACCCTCACTCAGGTGCGTCTTCAGCTGCTGCAGTCTCCCTGTGGTGATGCTGTCTGATTCCATGCCCAGTATGTTGTTTTTACAAATCTGGAGTCTGATTAAAGTGCAGGGTTATTTTCTGTAGAACAGCTGATGATTTCGGTACGTTTGGCCCTTTTGAACATTCCCAAGTTTCTGTGAAACTGCAGCTCGAATCCAGAGATCGAGTTTCTGACTCGACCTCGACCAGTTTACTGTCACAAACTGGCAAAATGTTTGGTTTTGTAAAGTGGAACGCTCCCTTAAACCATGTTTGAGTGTATGGAACCAGCAGTTCCTCTTTGTTTCATCTTATTTCCTTTTTTTACACATTTATTTTCCTGTATAATTAAAAAAAAACATAAAAATCAACTTAATCACTTAAAAAAATATAATCTGCTATCTTAATAATATACCTATCCCCACAATTAATTTTCCCCTTTTTCTATAAAAACATTCAAACCGGCTGATTTTGGAGTTACGACACAGTTAAATGTTCTAAGTAAAGAATTAGACATGATTTATTGGGATGCTGTTTGTGTGGTTGGATACAGGAGAAATAAATTGGGATAATGCAGGATTATGCTGTGTAATGCTCAGCCCATTCACTATTTAAAATAGATGTATGTGGAAAAACAACTTACAATAATGAGAATATTTTGAAGCTTGGATTTATTAAAATAATTGCTCATTTTTAACCCTTCAGGTGTTTGAATTTCATAATGTGCATTGGCTGAATAAACGTGTTTAATTCAGTCCCGGGAGGCGCTTTTGAAACCGCAGAATGAGAACAGACTTGCCCCAAAAACTAGAAAGGAAAATTGGTCCCGTGAAGTCTGGGAAAAAGTCTCTGGTTGGGATCATTCCACCATCACGGGCCACAGATGAGGAAAGTCTGGCTGAAGCTGGCTTTTGTGAATAGAAGGCAGCAGTATGAGCAGAAACGTACCGATTGTTGTTTCCAAGGCCGATACCATTCTGACCTGCTGACAAAGATTTTGGCCAAATATTAAATGCTTCAAATTAATCAGAAATTGGAAACAAGAGTGTTTGCAAAATTTTTACCTCTTGAGAAAAATCTAAATCAGAAAGCAGAACTAGTGCATTTATCAGATATGAGAGATGGAAACCAAGCAGAAACGTATGTTACTTAGCTGAATCCGTATCGACTCTAGGCAAGGGTTAGTGGTTAGGACTTTGTTCAGAAAGCTGTTCGAAACTTGTGGAGATCAACTGGATTTTTTTTTTTTTTTTTTTTTTTGGTCGATACCAGTGTTAACTCATTCGCTGCCAGCTATTTCCTGATCGATAAAGCCATCCGCTGCCAGTGTTTCTCACCGTTTTTACTGTTTTATTTTAAGTCACAGAACGTTGCGTGCTAGGCTGATGTTGACGCCAAAACAACCAAAACAAAGCGGAGACTCACCTCTTACATCAGGAAGAATCCGCACGTTTCGAGCGTTATCCGTTCTTTCATAATCCGTTGTTGAATTGTGATCGACAGAAGCTTTTCCGGTATGCACCTCACTTTTTTTACAGCAGCGGCCCAAAACGATCTCCTAACACATGGATGTTCTACTTCCTGATCACGTGACGTGTGACGTATGCGGATGAAGATCGGCTTTAGAGCTGAGATGTTTGTTCTCACGGTGCGGGGGCTCGTCCGACGCCCACACAGTAAAAACATGTAAATGATGACTTTAGTCATCATTGGCAGTGAATGAGTTAAAGAAAGTCAGGACATAATTTCTGGACCTTTAATATAAACTTCTGTTTTAGTTCTTTTCAAAGGAAATGCTTTTGATTAGAATTTTCTTTTGGGACTGTTAACCGGTCTACGTACTTTATTTTACATGTTTTCTGTGTATTTCAGTTATGAGAAATTGTGAGTTTGGAGCACATTTAAGATCAACAGTGTTCCCAGGACTGGACCCTGGGGGACTCCTGTGGTGTTCTGTGGCAACAGGACTTCCTGCTCTTACATTTGACTTTGTGTTAGCATCAGAGAGGACCCACCTAGCAGGCTGGCCAAAATGGGCGCCATGCCGACACCATTCAGAGGTGCAGAGAAGCATGTTGAAGACACGCCCCCTCTACAGGCAGAGAGGGAGGATACTCGATCGGCGACGCCACCAGGTAAACACGTTTGTAAATGTTTTTAAAAAGTTAATAAAACACATGTTTGGTGAAGTAAACGGTTTGTTTCTGCAGCGCCAGTCGTTGCTCCGAGAGTTCAGAGTATTCCTCCAAAAGTTCCACTGAAGCCGAGCGTAGAAGACCAGGAAGTTTATGGGTCAGTGTTCCACAAATGGCTCCCATTTAGAGGTTTTTCTAGTGTATTTCTTTCATTTCCTTCCTTGTTTGAATAAATGCAGGCCAAACACGGTGATGGTGCGTTTTAAGAAAGGCGACAGCGTTGGTCTGAGGCTGGCAGGAGGAAATGATGTTGGCATCTTCATTGCTGGTGTTCAAGAGGACAGTGCCGCTGAGCAGGAGGGTCTTCGCACAGGAGACCAGATCATGAAGGTGTCGTGTTTGTTTCCTTCACGAACTTCAGACGTATGTGACGAGGCACCGCTGAAATGATAATAAACGTGTCATAACCATTTATTTGTTTGAACGTGTCAGGTAAACAACGTGGACTTCAGAGGGATGGTTCGTGAAGATGCCGTCCTCTACCTCCTGGAGGTCCCAAAAGGAGAAGATGTGACTATTTTGGCTCAGAGTAAACCTGAAGGTAGGAATCTTAGGGTGTTTCTCAGTGTCGAGGTGCCTGGCTATGCGAGGCCATGTCTTGCGAGGCCAGGCGCCTTGCTTACGAGGACATTGTCCTTCCTTGGTCAAAGAAAACGGTTAAATGGAACAGACTAGCATTACGTGACCGCGGCTTCCACGGTGATCACGTAAAGTCACATGACAGTGGAGCTAACGTTGTATTTTATACGTATTAGTTTCAATATAAATAAATAACAAGCCTTTTACTTTTTAAATTGTGTTTGTTTATTAAATTAAATATATAAGCGAGTTACTACCCGCTAGCCACCGAAGCTGCAACTACTAAGCAACTAGCCAACAATTGATAACTTATTTGGATCTAAAATAACATTTTAAATTAGCTGACTTACTTTTAAACTTTAAAATTGTCCCCGAAGTAGCTGCCGGCTTCTGATCCACCGTCCTTTTGAAAATACCGCGGTGTATTCTGGGTAATTTTTGACCAAGGCTAGGCTACAAGACATATCCCGTGTATCCTCGCTCAGCTAGCTAAACGGCTAACAAACGGAGAGCACACGCCTTGGTAGAACATGAACACTGGAACACGTCTTGGTGGCTCCCGACGACGTATCTCCTAGGCAACCGGGGCGGGGCCAAGACATCAAGGCAAGGTTCCTTGGCACTGAGAAACCATAAATGAACATCAACTCCTTCAAATCTGTCTAAAGCAAACAAAAGAGGGAAGTAACAGTTCTGTGTTTGTTGAAGTCTACAAAGACATTCTAGCCTCTGGCAGAGGAGACTCGTTCTTCATCAGAACCCACTTTGAGTACGACAAGGAGACCCCACAGAGCCTCCCCTTCACCAGAGGAGAGATCTTTAAAGTCACAGATACGCTTTACGATGGCAAGCTGGGCCACTGGCTGGCCATCCGTACCGACAAGGATAACCAGCTGCTGGAGAAGGGGATCATTCCCAACAAGAGCAGGTGAGTGTTGCATCCTGATGGGATTGGTGCCATTGTGGTCCGACATTTTTTCAGTAGAAAACGAGAACGATTTAGGGAGTTTTCGTGAAGTGTTTTTTTGTTTTTTAGGTGTAAAGGTTTTCAGGACGTTTAGATTGACGTTAGGTTAGAGCTAACTGGGTAAACAGACGTATAGTAACGGAAGGTTTTAGCGATGTATTATGCTGGGTTCTGGACATAAGACTTGTTGTGGACTAAACTTCATTTATACTTCTCCGTCAGCTCCACAAGGGAGACACACACACGGTCGGAGACAAATTGTCCTCAGACTTCTCAGTCTCCTGGGGAGTGTCAGTCGTGTATCCGGTCCAAGATAGTGTGTTTATGTTGTGTTTTTTGTATTTAAGACTTTTTAGCACGGACAATTTTGGCCCTAATTTTTCTCCACCTCTTCATGCGCTCGCCACCTCTAAACCCACGTTTCCCGTCATTTCTGCCCATTAAAATAAAACGCTTGCCGTGGATCTTTTCACTCCTCCGTTCACGGGGGAATAAAACTTTCATATTTTTAGAATTTGTCGCGAGGTATTCAAGCTTTTCCTTGTCTGCCGCTATATATCTTCTCTCTTTGTTTTTGATGACGCCGCTGTCATCTCTTTGTAGATGACAGCGGCGTCCTGACCAATCACAAGCTTGTGTGTCTTATTGGACAGATGTTTAAGCCTGATTTATACTTTCCGTCTGCGTCAGTGCGGAGACACGCAACGCCATTATGCGTCGGTGCAACGCTCTCTGACGGGCTCGCAGAGGGTGACGGAGACATGCCCAAAATTTTAAACATCCGTCGAAAGTGCCGGAGATCTCAAGCTTGTGATTGGTCAGGACGCCGCTGCCTGTATATTCGTCACCAGCACCGCTGTAGCTCTGTTGAAAGGTAAACGGATATTTAGCGACAGACCCAGAACAGATTGAAGAATGCATCGCGGAAAAAGTCAGAAAGCATTAACGTATTCACCCGTGAGTGAAGGAGTACAAAACACGGAGCAAACGTGGACGGAAACGACGGAAAATGTGGGTTTAGAGGTGGTGACTGCATGAAGAGGTGGAGGAGAACAAAGGACTAATTTGTCTGTGTTAAGTCTCTGAAATATATAAACACATTAGTAAATACACCATCGAGGACCGGATACATGAGTGTTATGGTGACAGGATACCACAGAACAGTGCTACGCCCTCTGTTGTCCTGGCGGGGAATTGCTTTGCAACGCTCCGCTGCCTGAACAGAAGTTTGAATGTGAAAACCTGTCCGACACTCGATGTGCATCGCGGAGCTCGTGGAGAAGTATAAATCAGGCTTAAGAAAACAGAGCTCGACTCCGTCCATCCTTGCGAGCCTGTCGGAGATCCCTCGAAAGTATGGATAATGGCGTTGTGGGCGTCGTCCCGACAGACAGAGAAACATAAATTAGGATCAACTGTTTCATTGAAGGACATTAATTGGGCCCTTGTGGACGTGAAAAGACCATTTTTGTTGAAGATGCCTGTTCGGTCAGTAATATGAAGCTTCTAGTATGAATGAATGCCTTGTGAGTTGTTTTCTGTACAGAAAAGGCTATGGCGCTCCTGTTTTAGGGGGTAGAGGTTGGTTGGGTGAGTGGAGAGGGTGTAAAATGATGGGTTAGAGAGTCTTACTCGTTAATATTTAGGATTTGTAAATAGGGGAGTGTATTTCCTGCCGATACAAACAGCCTCCTAGTAAGAATTTAGCGTGTAAATTCTCCCCAAACAATCGTTGCCGTTGTTGTCGTCGTCGTCGTCTTCCTCCGCTTATCCGGGTCCGGGTCGCGGGGGCAGCATCCCAACTAGGGAGCTCCAGACCGTCCTCTCCCCGGCCACCTCCACCAGCTCCTCCGGCAGGACCCCAAGGTGTTCCCGGACCAGATTGGAGATGTAACCTCTCCAACGTGTCCTGGGTCGACCCGGGGGCCTCCTGCCGGCAGGACATGCCCGAAACACCTCCCCGGGGAGGTGTCCAGGAGGCATCCTGACCAGATGCCCAAACCACCTCAACTGGCTCCTTTCGATCCGGAGGAGCAGCGGTTCTACTTCGGGTCCCTCCCGAATGTCCGAGCTCCTCGCCCTATCTCTAAGGCTGAGCCCAGCCACCCTACGGAGGAAACTCATTTCGCCCGCTTGTATCCGCGATCTCGTTCTTTCGGTCATTACCCAAAGCTCATGACCAAAGGTGAGGATTGGGACGTAGATCGACCGGTAAATCAAGAGCCTGGCTTTCTGGCTCAGCTCCCTCTTCACCACGACAGATCGGCTCAGCGTCCGCATCACTGCAGACGCCGAACCAATCCGCCTGTCGATCTCCCGATCCCTCCTACCCTCACTCGTGAACAAGACCCCGAGATACTTAAACTCCTCCACTTGAGGTAGGACCTCTCCCCCGACCCGGAGTTGGCAAGCCATCCTTTTCCGGTCGAGAACCATGGTCTTAGATTTGGAGGTGTTGATCCTCATCCCAGCCGCTTCACACTCGGCCGCGAACCTACCCAGCAAGAGCTGAAGGTCAGAGCTGGATGAAGCTAGGAGGACCACATCATCCGCAAAAAGCAGAGACGAGATTCTCCTGCCACCAAACTCGACACACTCCACACCACGGCTGCGCCTAGAAATTCTGTCCATAAAGTTAATGAACAGAACCGGTAACAAAGGGCAGCCCTGGCAGAGTCCAACCCTCACCGGGAACAGGTCCGACTTACTACCGGCAATGCGGACCAAACTCACGCTCCTCTGGTAAAGGGACTGAATGGCCCTTAACAGAAAGCCACCCACCCCATACTCCTGGAGCGTCCCCCACAGGGTGTCCCTGGGGACACGGTCATAAGCCTTCTCCAAATCCACAAAACACATGTGGATTGGTTGGGAAAACTCCCATGCCCCCTCCATCACCCTTGCAAGGGTATGGAGTGTACCAAGTGTACCGATGGGCATCCTTATGTTCGAACATGGTGTTCATTATGGCCAAACTGCGGCTTGCACAGAAGTCCAATAACGAAACACCACTCGAGTTCAGATCAGGCGGGCCGTTCCTCCCAATCACACCCCTCCAGGTCATGCTGTCATTGCCCACGGGAGCATTGAAGTCCCCCAGCAGGACAATGGAGTCCCCTGATGGAGCACTATCTAGCACTCGTCCCAGGGACTCCAAAAAGGGTGGGTACTCTGAGCTGATATTTGGCCCATAAGCACAAACAACAGTCAGGACCCGTTCCCCGACCCGAAGGCGCAGGGAAGCTACCCTCTCGTCCCCCGGGGTAAACCCCAACACACAGGCAGAGAGTCTTGGGGCTAACAAAAAGCCAACCCCAGCCCTCCGCCTCTCACCTGGAGAAACTCCAGCAAAGGAGAGGGTCCAACCCCTCTCAAGGACTTGGGTTCCAGAGCCTATGCAATGTGTCGAGGTGAGTCCGACTATATCTAGCCGGTACCGCTCAACCTCTGCCACAAGCTCCTGCTCCTTCCCCGCCAGCGAGATGACGTTCCATGTCCCAAAAACCAGTTTTCTTGTCCGGGGATCGGACCGCCAAGGCTCCCGCCTTGGTCTGCCACCCGATCCACATTGCACCGGACCCTTCATCGTTGCACTGCTTTTAAACATCCCATCGGTACGCTAACGGATAGCTCCTGCTGGTTAAGATGTGCTCTGCTCTCTTTCCTGTGGGCGGGGCCATAAATACGACTTTAGCCTCCGACATAGAAGACGTGCTTTTTCTGACTTCCGTCTTTCCGTCTTTTGTTTTTCTGCGGCTAATCGAGGTGATGGGGTTAGAAGAACTGTTTCCTTGACCCACAAATGCCAATCGGAATCATCAGTTATGTTTGAGAGAGAACAGGAAGTGCACGGTTTCTTGGTCAATGAGACCTTTATGGCATCCTCATACCTGTAGTTCAGTTTCCTCTAACTCCGTTTTGGGTTTTTGTCCTTCAGGGCCGAGCAAATGGCCAACGTCCAGAACACGGCCCCTGTGGCATCAGGCAACGACCGAGGAGACTTCTGGAGGCTGAGAGGTCAAAGGGCAGTGAAGAAGAAGGACCTGCGTAAGAGTCGGGATGACCAGAGTGTCATGCCGGTCACCACTAGGTTCCCCGCCTACGAGAGGGTGGTGTTACGTGAAGGTAGGTGAAGGCGGTTTTCCAGCAGCTTCCGTGCCGAGTCGCCCGTGTTTGGTTCTTATCATGTCTTTGTCGTGTTCAGCTGGTTTCAGGAGGCCTGTGGTGATTTTTGGGCCCATTTCTGATGCGGTGAATGAGAAATTGGCCAACGACCTCCCGGACGAGTTTGTCATTGCCAGTAAGTGTTTTGTTTACTTAAATTTTGTCCGCCACACAGAACCCCCCTCCCTCAGCTTCCCCCTTCTCCCTACAGAAACGGAGCCGAAGGACGCGGGGACAGAGAAGTCCTCCGGTGTGGTGAGACTGAACACCATCAGAAAGATCATAGAAGAGGTACAGTTCTCTGGAGAAGTAAAGCCTCTTCATACAGAGCCTCTCGGATTAGCTAACCTTTAAGCTCCGCCCTTCATTTGTCCAGGAACGCCACGCCCTTCTGGATGTCACTCCAAAAGCCGTGGACACCTTGAACTACGCCCAGTGGTATCCCATCGTCATATTCATGAACCCAGACAGCAAACAGGGAGTGAAGACCATGAGGAACCGCCTCATGCCCGGATCCAAACGCAGCGCGCGGAAATTATACGAGCAGGCCGTCAAGCTGAAGAAGACCTGCTCACACCTGTTCACAGGTAGGTGGAGCTTCAGGCTTCCTTTGGTCACTCGGTGGGGATTCTCAGCTCTGAACCTGATTCTGGTGTGAGTGCAGCGACCATCGATCTGAACTCGGCGAACGACGCGTGGTACGGCAGCGTGAAGGATTCCATCCAGGAGCAGCAGGACAGAGCCGTGTGGGTGTCCGACGGGAAGGTGAGTGTCGGTCATTGGCTGCCGGTGAGTTGGCGCTCCCGACTTCGCGTCACGTTTTCCATCCTGGTTCCTCAGATGGACGGATCAGAAGAAGACTTGGATCTCCAGGACGACCGCATGTCCTACCTGTCAGCCATGAGCGCCGACTACCTCAGCATGGACAGCCGCCTCACCAGCGACTATGACGACACTGCGGATGAGGGCGGGGCTTATACCGACAATGAACTGGACGAGACGCTGGACGAGCCGCAGCCCGTTTCAGCCATCAGCCGGTCGTCGGAACCGGTGCTGGCAGACGAGGTGGACAACAAATCAGACAGCCTTCATGCCCTAACCTTTCCTTCCCTGTCGTGTGATGTCATAACCTGTCCTCTGTGTGTAGAGGTCTCACCCTGATCCCCGTCGCACGAGGACAGCAGGAAGCAGAGAGGTCAGCAGAGACCCCAGTCCTCCCCCTTCTTTTGTCCCCGAACCCCCGAAGGTGAGACTCATCCTTTCCTCTTCCCCCAGCTAGCCACCAGCTAGCTAAGTAGCATCCCGCTGGAGGTTTGTGAGCGAGCTGAAATGTCTAACTCATTTTTAGGGTTGTCACGGCAACCGGTGTAGCGGTAACCCCGGTAAAAAAGTTGACAATAATAATAACTGTCTTGTTTTTGAAAAAACATATATTATCTCGGTGGATTAGCGTGGCTGCGGTGTAGGCGCGGTGACCCTTACCAGCCACCGTATAATCTGCTGAAGTTGCCGGCGGCACATGCGCGCTTTGCTGTTTACAGCCAAAACTTTCTTGAAGCTAAAGCTGAAATAATGGTCAAAGGAGGAGACGGCAGCCCTCAGGACATTTATTATCCCTCAAAGAAGACAAAGTGGGAAGTACGGGCATCTTTTGGATATTTGAAGAATGCCGAGGGACAGCTGATAGAAGACGGCTATCCTGTTTGCAGCACGTGCAGATAAAGTGTCTGTGAAAGGCAGCAACGCTTCAAATCTCACGACACATCTGCGTGACCATCACCCACAACTCTACAGTCAACGCAAGGCAAGCTAACGTTAGCGTTTTAGCTAAAATGCGTGATCCGAGGATTTGGGTTGAGGGAGAATGCAACGAGTCGCTATATAAAGCAGCCGCAGCGCCGCTACCTGCATATAAACCGTGTCACGGGCACCCCCATACTGAAATGACGCTATGCATTACGGGGCTCCCAGGGGCAGATAAGAGTTGGTCTCTCTCCGAGAATAATTATGTATTTAACAATGATTACTGCCTGATGACATTTTCCCACATCTGCAAAGCTCACTGGAAGGACACAAACCAAGGACGATATTTTCCTGATATAGGGTTTATTACTCAAGTAAGGGTAAAAAAGTATCTGATTAGAAGGCTACTGGAGTACTGAGTATCATCTGGTCTAATATTTTTAAAATGATGACATCAAACAGACAAAAAATAAGAAGTTATGGGCAATTATTGGTATTTTAAAGACTAAAGGGAAAAATGTAAACAAATAAACAACATAATTACAAAATAACACATTTTAGGCTAAATTTAGACACAAACTGAGGACAATATTTCCTGACATACAGGGTTTATTTAATTTTGTGAAAATGTAGCACGTTTAAAAAAAATACTGCGATAATACTGAAAACCGTGGTAATTTTGGTCACAATAACCGTGAGGTAAAATTTTCACACCGTGTCGACCATATTTGTTTTACAGATATGTTGTAGCTGAAAGTCAAATCGTCTGGGAATTTATGTCGGTTGTTTTTCTCAACATAAAATGATCTTTTGTCCTGCGATTGCTGAAAACTAACGGAAACCTACTTAACAAGTGTCTGAAATTCCCAAACTTTGCCCGTTGTTTAGTTGCGGACCCAGACTCGGAACGACTCCACCCGGAGCTACGAGTCCCAATCCAGCAGCACCATCAGCAGCAGCGACGCCGCTATGGGAAGCCGGCCGCTCCCCCCGCCCGTAGCTCAGAAACCCGCCATCGGCCGACTGAACCAGTCATCGGAGGAGCAGAGTACTGGGAAGGACGAAACGGAGGAAGATCCCGCCAACAAGTCCTTCCTCGGAAAGGTCAGCAGTAAAGCATACATCTGCTGCAGATGTTCCCCTCCTGCTTTTTCTGCCTTTCTTAACTGACTTTTATTTTCCTTCTTTTCTTCCTCCTTTGCTTTCTCTGTGAAATATGAAATAGCGAATGGGTCACCAGGTAACTACTAATGTCCGCACCCACTGTTTGTTTCAGGTCACAGGTAACGGGATAATAAGGGGATCTGGCTAAATATAGAAACAAGAAGCATGAAAATATAATTATATTCACTCAAACTTAAACAGTCAATCGTACGAAAAAATATAAAAAAGTTTGAGGGTTCAAATCTCACTTTTGTGATTTTTAGTTGACCTCAGAGAAAATCTCAGTGTCTCCTTTAAATTTAGGTACTTTTGCCTTTAAAATAGTCTAATAATGAACATTTCAGTTAACATGTTATTTCTCTGGTCCATAAAGATGCCTTTGAATCCTAAAAATTCAGATTAACTCGTTCACTGCCATTGACGACTAGTCGTCATTTGCGTGTTTTTACTGTGTGGGCGTCGGACGAGCCCCCGCCTCTGTGAGAACAAACATCCCAGCTCTAAAGCCGATCTTCATCCGCGTACGTCACACGTCATGTGATCAGGAAGCAGAACATCCATGTGTTAGGAGATCGTTCTGGGCTGCTGCTGTAAAAAAAAAGTGAGGCGCGAACCGGAAAAGCGTCTGCCGATCACAATTCAACAACGGATTATGAAAGAACGGATAACGCTCGAAACGCGCAGATTCTTCCTGATGTAAGAGGTGAGTCTCCTCTTTGTTTTGGTTGTTTTGGCGTCGACATCATCCTAGCACGCAACGTTCTGTCACTCTTAAAACAACAGTCAAAATGGTGAGAAACGCTGGCAGCGTATGAGTTAAACATATTTAATATCATTAATTTTTTTTATTTTACAATTTTCTTTCAGAATAATTTGACATTCTCAACATACACCCATTTAATTTTCTGGCTCATAAACTGCTGTTGTGCGTTTTAAAACTTTAGGAAGATAATAAATGAAATGACTTTCCTAATGAATACAGACGAACGTTATTAAAGGAGTGGAGCACCGAAAACAATTTTTATTGAATATTTCTAATTAGAACGGTTCACTGTGAGTTTAACATGCAGGCTGAACATGAAATAGTTTCCTACACCTACCTCCTGGATTAGCGTCTGATAGAAAATAGGAGTAGAAAATCTTGACAGATCAATTCACCCTGTCACTAACATTCATGGACTCACCCATCTGCACTCACGGCGGGGAAGACTGTTGTTGGTTTAGCGTCCAGGAAACAGCAGAGAACGTCTCAGCTAGTAGAAGCTAACTGTTAGCATTAGCAACTCCACCACACAGCAGAACTCCTCCAGGCTTGTTTGTGGAGATAAAACATCAACGTTGCAGAGCGAACTTAGTCATCGGTAGTTGTGTTGCGGTTAGCCAATCAGATGAGAGATGTGTAAATATCAGGAAATAAGACACTTAATCCTGTCGCCTGAAGCTCAACTCTGATCTGGATCGCTTCTAGTTTATAAAAACGATGATTTGTTTGTACTTTATACATTTTATGAATATTTTGTAGGAGAATTTAGTTTTATTTTGAATGTCGTTAAAGCCGTACCCGTTTGCTCCCTCAGCAAACCGAGCTGTGACCACGGACCGTACCATACTGGGATTTTAGGCATGCTGGTTCACCCCGATGCTTCCTAAAATAAGTGAGAAGTTAACGAACACAAATAACAGCTTAAAATGTACAACAAAGGACTTCGAGGTAAAATCAGCCGAGAGATTATTTCTGTACACCTAAAAGCCGTAGGAAGCCACCAGCCTAACCCCGTTCTGGCGTCTTCCTCAAGGTTCAAGGTCACTTTATTAATACCCACAGGTAAATTTGATTAGCCATGTGACACGAGAATTAGTGCCCAGGTTACACACAGCCACACACACAGACACACACAGATACACACAGACACACACAGACACACACAGACACACACAGACACACACAGCCACACACAGATACACACAGATGCACACAGATGCACACAGCCACACACAGATACACACAGATACACACAGATACACACAGATACACACAGATACACACAGCCACACACAGATACACACAGATACACACAGATGCACACAGATACACACAGATACACACAGATGCACACAGATGCACACAGATACACACAGATGCACACAGCCACACACAGATACACACAGATACACACAGATGCACACAGATACACACAGATGCACACAGATACACACAGATGCACACAGCCACACACAGATACACACAGATACACACAGCCACACACAGATACACACAGATACACACAGATGCACACAGATGCACACAGCCACACACAGATACACACAGATACACACAGACACACACAGACACACACAGATACACACAGATGCACACAGACACACACAGATACACACAGATACACACAGATGCACACAGATGCACACAGATGCACACAGACGCACACAGACGCACACAGATGCACACAGACACACACAGACACACACAGACACACACAGCCACACACAGATACACACAGATGCACACAGCCACACACAGATACACACAGATGCACACAGATACACACAGATACACACAGACACACACAGATGCACACAGATGCACACAGACACACACAGATACACACAGCCACACACAGACACACACAGACACACACAGACACACAAATACACACAGCCACACACAGATACACACAGACACACACAGACACACACAAATACACACAGCCACACAGACACACACAGACACACACAGTTACACACAGCCACACACAGATACACACAGATACACACAGACACACACAGACACACACAGATACACACAGATACACACAGACACACACAGACACACACAGATACACACAGACACACACAGACACACACAGACACACACAGACACACACAGACACACACAAATACACACAGACACACACAGACACACACAGACACACACAGACACACACAAATACACACAGACACACACAGACACACACAGACACACACAGACACACACAAATACACACAGACACACAGACACACACAGACACACACAGACACACAAAGACACACACACAGACACACACAGACACACACAGACACACACAGACACACACACAGACACACACAGACACACACACAGACACACACAGACACACACAGACACACACAAATACACACAGCCACACACAGATACACACAGACACACACAGACACACACAGACACACACAGACACACACAGCCACACACAGATACACACAGATACACACAGACACACACAGACACACACAGACACACACAGATACACACAGACACACACAGACACACACAGACACACACAGATACACACAGACACACACAGATACACACAGATACACACAGACACACACAGACACACACAGACACACACACAGACACACACACAGACACACACACAGACACACACACAGACACACACACAGACACACACACAGACACACACACAGACACACACACAGACACACACACAGACACACACAGACACACACAGACACACACAAATACACACAGCCACACAGACACACACAGCCACACACAGATACACACAGCCACACACAGATACACACAGATACACACAGACACACACAGACACACACAAATACACACAGCCACACAGACACACACAAATACACACAGCCACACAGACACACACAAATACACACAGCCACACAGACACACACAGACACACACAAATACACACAGCCACACAGACACACACAGACACACACAAATACACACAGCCACACAGACACACACAGACACACACAAATACACACAGCCACACAGACACACACATCAAAGAAGAATAAACAATAAGTAAATAAAATAAAATGGCCACGCCAGACTCGGTTCTTATTGAGTAACGTTACCGCCTCGGGAATAAAGCTTGTTTTGTACCTCCTGGTCCTGCACCTTGGCACAATAAGTCTCCGTCCAGATGGCAGGAGCGTAAACTGGGCATGCAGTGGGGGGGCCGTGTCCCTAACAACCGCTTTAGCAACCCTCTCTACCTGTCCGCTGAACAGCTGTGCCACACTTTTCCTGGTTTTCCAAGCAGCTTTACTATCCTGTTCAGCGTTTCCTTTTGTTTACGAGTGGCCTGACCAGACCACGAGGCTAAGGAAAAGATGAAACACGTTCAATAAAAGAACAATAAAACGTGGACATTATAGTCCTGTCCACATGCAGTCAGGCCAGTTTTCTAAGGCGGTACAAACGCTGCTGGCCGTTCTCGCCCACAGCATCACCGTTTTCCTCTAAATCCAGCTCCCTGTCCTTAATTGTCCCCAAATATTTATATGACATCACCTGCTCAATAGTTTGACCTTTAATTATGGAAAGATCACGCTGTTGTTGAGGCTTCCTTCTAAAATCCATGATCATGTCTTTTGTTTTAATGACATGAAGTTGTAGATATGATTCATCACACCAAGAGATGAAATCCTCAAGAACAGGTCCATGGCTGTGTTCCCCTTCTCTCAGGAGGCGTACCACTACCGAATCATCAGCATATTTAATAACTGTCCTTCTCTCATGTTTGCTTCGGCACATGTTGGTGTAGAAAATGTACAGCAGGGGGGACAAAACACAGCCCTGCTCACGCTACATGTGTGTTGCTACAGTGGCTTTCATGTGAATCACGCCACCTGGATGTGCAGCATCTGTTCACACCTGCACTCCAGGATGGAGGACGGATGTATTAACGAAGGCTCCTCTCCTCCCAGATCAAAGCCTTTGAGAAGATGGACCACCTGGCTCGAGCTCAGAGGCTCCTGGAGCTGCAGGAGGCGGAAAACGCTCGAGTAAGATCCGAATACTGCTCTAACTGGTTTAACTGGTTAACTGTGCTGGGTTAAGGTGGGCCAGCCCAGTCACAGCGAGGTATTTTCTTTTCCGACGCGATTATTCCTGACATATCTGGGTCTGCGCCTTTTCCTGCTCAGCTGGAAATTGCCCAGAAGCATCCAGACATCTACGCCGTTCCAGTGAAACTTCCTAAACCCAACCTGAACCGGCCCCAGCCAATCGGGTCAGAACCCCGTCTCTCTGTGTAAAAATAAATAATAATAGATTTCTGATTCAAGCTAAAGCCATCCTATGTGTGTGTGTGTGTGTGTGCGTGTGTGTGTGTGTGTGTAGCTCGAACGCGGAGCCGCAGGCTACGCCCAGGCTGCAGTACTCTGAGACTCGGGGACTGGAGGACCGGGAGGCCGAGTACCGGCGCCAACTGTCCGACCAGGCCCGGAGAGGATACTACAACCCTCAGAAATATAACGACACCGAGCTGTGAGAACCAGGAAGTGAGGTCATCGCTCCCAGCCTACAAGCAGACGGTGCCTGTTGCCACGGTTACAGCCACCGTCGCTGCTCCGCCTTCACATTTCCTGCCGAAACGCCAGCTCCGACACGGATTTCAGACTTTCTTGTTTTTATATTTTGTTCTCGAGCTGTTGCGTTTTCTTCCTGCTGTACAGAACCAGAACCAGAACCTGGAGTGGAGGATTTTATGTCTCTCACAGGAGATGTTGTGGTGTAAATATTATCTGTGTGCATGCATGTGTGTGTGTGTGTGTGTGTGTGTGCGAGGTTGTTTCCCACCGTTATTCCCACTTTGAGCCTCCAGTGTTGGACCGTTACAGCCGGGTCTCCGAGGCAACCATCAGCAGGTTGTTTACAGGAAGTGACGCATTAGAAAACAATAGTTTTTAAGAGGTTTATGAACTTCGCTGCCTTCTAGTTTGATTAAAATGAGCAAAAGTTTCATTTTGTTTAACTCGGAGCAGCAGCCGCTCGCCAGACTTCCTCGGGTTTATTTCTTCTGGCATCCTGAACTCGACTCGAGGGCTGAGCCCGTTTAAAAACCCTCATCGTATGATTTTAACTGGGTCTTTGTTCCCAGCAGTCGCTCAGGAAAGCACATCCTTCAGCCGAATCTATTCAGAATGGCTCCAACAGAGCTGTTGGCTCTCGGCAGGAGCTGCTTCCTCCTCCAGCTCTCCGGGACCTAACATCCTCTCGTTCAGCCACGGAAGTGGGATCGTGCCGCCTCTGGATCAGGATTCTGGTTGGCGTGCCGGAAACACTCGGTACAAAAACCTAAATAATAAAACGGCGGCGGCGGTCCAGAGAAACCCTTCCTGAGGTCTGGAGAACCGTTTCTCAGCATGTTTGTTCCTCGTGACTCAAGAAGGGGTTTAAAATCTTCCCGAGGCCTAACAGATGTTCCTGAACCAAACTCATTTCTGTCTGGTGCAGCTGTGATGTCAGATTTAATAATGGAAAGCTCCTGGTCCTCTGTTGTACAAACCCACCGGGGTGTGTTCCATTTCGCCTGTCGGACGCTTTCGTCCAGTTTAAAACTGGTGCATTCTGGGTAGCGGAACAAGTGCCTTCTAGCTTTTATTCCACCTCCTGAAGACGGATCCTTCCTTCCTTCGGTTAAGAAAACGGTTGCTGTTACTTTTCATGTCTGAAACTGAAGTTCCTTCCCGTCTGTGTTGGTGTGACTTGGAACCAACAGGTGAGGAGGCGGGGCTAAACGCCGCCCTGCCAGCAGAGACAATCACCTTTTTACTGCAGATATTTTTCTACTGAACTCGGACCCGCTCCAGTCGAGTCTGTGTGCACCAGTGAGTCGGGACGTGGGGACAATCACGTCTTTTAGTTTTGTGGTTCCTGTAGTTTGATCTGAGTGTTTCACTGCTCCGTCTTTTAAAATGATGATGAATAAAACTTTTGTTCCCGTTTTGTTTTCACACGCCCTCTTTTAAAGGCTCCCTTGGTTGTTGGTGCCGAAGCCGCGACAGCAGCGGTTTCAGGTTCCTGTGTGTGTTGTAGGAGGGGCCAACGATTCTAATAACGGGTCATGATCAAAACCAAACCAAGACAAAAAGCTGACTGCAGAAACAAACAAGGACTGAACAATTAAAGGCAAATAAACTGTTTTTGAATATTCTCATTTTTCTCTTTTTATCCTCGCGAGGCTCCGCCGGTCTCCATGTTTTAAACCAAAACAACCTGACATCTGAGCTTTTGAGTGGATGATGCGTATTCCCACCAGCTCTTTGTGATTAAAAGCATTTTTAGTTTTGTTGTTTTTAAACTTTTACCTGAATTTAAAGGGGCATTATGGAAGTGTGACAGCCAAAACATGTATAGAAATAATAAATGTCTTCTTCATACGTTCTCCTGCAATGCCCTGGTCCTGTAGAATGAGCCCTGGCATTTTTACTGTGATTGCCTGTTTTTCTGTAAAATCACAGAAAAAGAGAGATGCTCGGGTCGAGCAGGCTGCTTCATGCGCGTTCACGCTCAGGCATCGCCCGTAGCATTTGCTATCCGTAGCTTTAGCAGCAGAGAGAGAGGCAGTGCCACTTTGTCGCTGTTCCTAACGCCTAGTGACAAAGCAGCTACATTTCTGAGGACCCTTAGCTACTTTCTGTAGAACTTTCTTCTAGATATTTCCTGCAAATTAGCAGCAAAATAGCCATTTTCACTCCGAACTGTTCTTTGGTTTGACGTTGTTTCAGCTGTCATCAAGGATATAAACGTTACAGATACAAAACATCACTGGTGCTTTAGCTCACCTAGTAAGTCGTCTGACTCTCATGCAGAAGTCCTGGGTTCGGTTCTGGATGTGAACATAATTTATTTAGAGTTTCTTTTTTACATTAATGGTATGTTTTTTACAGTAAGATGCCTAAATTTTTATTTGAGACTCGCCGAACGGCATTGAATTCACAGATAAAAAAGATGTGGGTTCAACTTTCATTTTGGAACAATTTTTCAAGCAAGGGAAGGGAATGATCTGAGCATGCAGGAGGACTGACCCATCATAAACCTTTGTCGACTGTGCTGAAGAGAAAGCTACAGAACCAAATTATTTAATTAATTAGCTGCACGTTGTCCTGTCCTCTGTCCTCCGGGCCACCCACACACACACACACACACACACACATGGGACTGTCTCAACTATTGTTTTCATTAAGGAGTGTGCACATACAGCATGCGCGTCTCGTGCACGAGCCTACTATTGAAGCTGACGTTATGTTTTTGGCCTGAGGGGGCAGTCACGAGCATAAAAATTCAAAACTCCATAAAGTCCCTTTAAATAAAAGCTAAATTTAAATTCAGCCTCCCTAGATCAGTTGTGTCTGAAGTGCTTTTATTTTTACTGATGGGGCTGATAAGTTTATTTTTATGAGTTTATCAGACCCTTTTATTCAAGCACCTAAACATCTTTTTGCCTATTAAAACTTAAAATAGTTTGTGTTTTTTTTAAATTAATTACTTTAGTGGCATTTAACTTTATTATTTTGGCTCTTATTTTGAAAGGTTCGGACATAAGAATAAAGTGTAGAGAAAGTTAATTCTGTCAAGAAGCCGTGGAGGGAAAATTCTTACGGTAAAAAGCGTAATGATGGGACTTCCTTCTGTCCTTCACAATAAGAGTCTCAAACTTTTAAAGGCTCTTTTAAATATCTGAAACTAAAATGTTTTATTCACTCAAGATTCAGAAATATAAAGTAAATTTAAATGAATTATTAAACAGAACTATTGTCTAATGTCAATATAAACGGTATCAGTTTTGTTCATTTTTATAAAAAAAGGCAAAACAGTAGCTCCTCCACCAGGGGGCAGTAGACCAGTACACTGGATATATGGCAGGTTACTGATGAAGGTACTAATCCTGATGCTCCATCTGGATTTTGGGGAGAATATTTAAACTACCTCAACAACACTTCCTCTGAGTGTTTTTTCCCTTTGTAGCAGCGCTAAAACCTCGTTAAAACCAGACGTGGAACAGACGCGGTCCGGTTTCCGCACGGCTTCTGCGTTAATCAAAAAAATCACTGAGTCCAGTCAGAGCTTTTACTTCCGCTGCGTGTTGTGGCTGATCCGGCGCTCCACAAAGTTTCTGCTTGAAGTATTTTTTTTTTCCAAACGCCACATATAAAGTTAAAGAAATGACACGAGCCAGACAGGAAGTGAGCCGTGAAAAGACAAAGTGAGTCCAGTACATTTCAAAATAAAAACTGTCGCATTATTTATGTCGGCTTTTGTTTAATCATTAATGATGGCGATATCAGCTGACAAATGGTTCATGTTATTTATGCAGGAATATTTTTAAATGTCAGATTTCTGATGGCTTGGTGCTCCTGTGGGAGCAGACATCTGGAGACGCACTCGTGTGAACAGGCGCAACACTCCTCCGAGGTCTTATTTCCACATCCTTCTCCTGTAAGCAACTAGTTTTAAAAGACGCGGCGTTCACTCGCTGCCTTTGCTTCAGTTTATTCTGCAGATTTGTGCATGCATGTCCCGTTTCCTTCGTTTCACTGCAAGTTCTTCACCACTTGGGTCACCCTGACGATTTGTAGGTCCATCATGATTATACATTCAGATAATACAGCTATTAGACCAAAGCTAATATTGTCTCTGTTTGCAACCTAAATACACACAAGAAAACCCACAAAGTATCTTTGGTCGAACCTAAAATGTCACATTAACACTCGTCTAGTGGTACGGTTTGCCTTCTGCTGTCGCACTGGAGATGTGCACGTTTACGTGAGTCAACTGTACAGATTAAGGCAAGTCAATTGATGTCAAACGGGACACGGAGAGGCTTTAAAATAATGGAGTGGAAAAGCCGGAGCGATGCGGTGAAAAGGAAAGTGTGTTCAGATGTAGACGGGCTGTTCCTGCGCCGTCAGCAGGCGGTACATGGCTGCAGGCATCGTCTTCATGTGGATCTGGAGCAAAAACAAAAACACAAGCGGGTTTTATTCTAATAACTTCAAACACCCGTCTAATCTGCTGGAGAATAAAATCTGCAGGTCATTTTTATTGAGCTTTAATGAGTTTGTGTTTGGAAAATACCTCATCTGTCTTCATCTCAGGATGTAGGCCCGGTTCACACGGCAGGATAGTTATGCTGGTTTTTAACCTCCCCTCTAGACAATCTGAATGACGCCCCAGATTACGGTAACTGGCCTAAAGATACTTTGATCAGATTATCCTACCATGTGTGGTGTGTTGAGAGCAATCGGGTCTGCTCATAAAGACGCCGGGACCGCTGCTGATCTGCGTTTCCATTGGCAGAACTTCAGGGTGAATTCTGGGCGGGGAAACTGACCGGGAGACCCAACGGCCCGGTCCTCTCAGCTGTTGCCTCCATACAAATCCCGCTCTTTCAGGACTTTACACAGATACCACGACTGCTTCAGCAGCAAGACATGTCACTGACGACGTATTTTGAAGCACGGAATTTTTATCCGTTCGGAGGACTGAAAGAGCAGCGGCGTGCTTTAAAAGGTGTCCAGAAGAAGCCCCGTTTTTACGGCACTCTGAGAAAATAAAACAGGGAATTACGGAGTTTTGGAGGGTTTCTGCCGCATTTTTGGTGTTTGGAGTTTAATAACGGTGATTTTAAAGCAGTGTGACCCGTGCTGCTTCACCCGCATCTCTTCTAATTTTACTGATGCCAGTTGTTTTGGACGACATCTGCTGATGTCATTTCCTACTGAGTAACAACCAATCAGTGGGTTAAAGGGAGACTAGACATTTTTAATTGCTTTTAGCACCCCCTAGTGTCCAATTAATAAAAACAAATGCAAAATCTAATCTTTTTAACACCTTCATCTGCCTGCTGGAACGTCTCCCAACCTTCATTAGTGTCTACAGGAGGGATTATCACTAAATTAAACAAATCAGCTGTGTTCATGACCTAAAACATGCAGGAAATGGGTTTAAAGTATCCCTTTAACCAAAAGTTCCACTCAGCGACTCTAACGGGCGTCCTGAGGACCGACTCCTGTTCAAGTACTCTGTTGGTTCCTGAAGTTCAGGCTGGCCCAGTGAGAAGTGCATGCCAGGAAGTTCTGCTAGTGGAAACGCGCCTTATGATGATGTCATGTCTTGGTCTGATTTTCAAGGACAAACAAACTCGCTGCCTGTTGAATACGACATGGAACCAATCAGGAAGTTAGGTGACAGAAGCACTCTGCACATTCCACGTCCGCCATGTTTGTTGTAAAGTCACATTTGATCATGAGGTTTTAGCAGGAGTGTGTGTGTGTGTGTGTGTGTGTGTGTGTGTGTGTGTGTGTGTGTGTGTGTGTGTGTGTGTGTGTGTGTGTGTGTGTGTGTGTGTGTGTGTGTGTGTGTGTGTGTGTGTGTGTGTGTGTGTGTGTGTGTGTGTGTGTGTGTGTGTGTGTGTGTGTGTGTGTGTGTGTGTGTGTGTGTGTGTGTGTGTGTGTGTGTGTGTGTGTGTGTTCTCTCCAGTGTCAACCCTAACCCTACATCTAATCATTGTTCATAGATGCTCCATATAAAACATAGTTGTGTTCAAATCGGAGGACTCTTGTATTTTACTGTGACAGAAAATTAAATCAGAACAGTTCATAAATTATTCATTTATATTTCAAAATAAAAGCTGATGAAAATGTAAACAGGGCTGAGGAAACATTCTACCTCTCCCATGGCGTTGGACAGGATCTGGACGATCTTCTCGTGAGGTGTGGCCACAACGCTCTGGCTGTTGATCTCGATGATGCGGTGACCGACACGGACGCCTCCTCGCTCGGCAATGCCACCTCTCATCAGGCTGCAGATCTAAAAACACACAAAGAGGAGGCCTGGAGCACAGCTCCACTGGTGGAGGTGGACACCATCACGGGTGGAAACCCTTCAGCTCACTCGGTTGCTAAGATACATGCGATTTTTCCTGTTTTCTCAAATGTTATTTCCACACGTTCTCATGACCCACCGTCGCACGTCGGTGACAGTGCTGGTAATGGTTCTGCCTGTGTGATGAGATGTTCATCTACAACAGAAAACCTGTGGAGTTGAGCCCTTTAACCCTGAAACTGGCAGATCAGTGGAGAATATTTATTAGATCTTTTTAGAAGGACTGAACTGAAAAATAAAATCTGCAAAGAAATGTATAAAAACTGTTTTTTTATTGTTACTAACTCAAAATAATGTTTTTGTAGAATAATCAATAATTCATTATATTAGAACCCCGATTTCCCCAATTAGATTAAAAAAAGCGAAGAAGTAAATATGTCCTTGTTTTCTCTACATGTGGAAGTCTAAGCTGATCAGAGGATCAACCTCAGCGAACCGCTTCATAAATACAGGTCCTTCTCAAAAAATTAGCATATTGTGATGAAGTTCATTATTGTCTGTAATGTACGGATCAGCTCAGTGGCCTAGTGGTAGAGTGTCCGCCCTGAGACTGGGAAACCAGGGTTCAATTTCTGGTCGGGTCGTACCAAAAAATGGGACCCAATGCCTCCCCGCTCGACACTCAGCATTAAGGGTTGGATTGGGGGGTTAAACCACCAAATGGTTCCCGAGCGCTGCTGTGTCTGCAGCTCACCGCTCCCCCAGGGGATGGGTCAAATGCAGAGAACAAATTTCGCACACACATCAGTGTGTGTGACAACTGATGGGACTTTAACTTTAACATTAGACTTTCATATATATTAGATTCATTACACACAACTGAAGTAGTTCAAGCCTTTTTTTGTTTCTAATATTGATGATTTTGGCGTACAGCTCATGAAAACCCAAAACTCCTATCTAAAAAAATTAGCATATCATGAGAAGGTTCTCTAAACGAGCTATTAACCTAATCATCTGAATCAACTAATGAACTCTAAACACCTGCAAAAGATTCCTGAGGCTTTTAAAAACTCCCAGCCTGGTTCATTACTCAAAACCACAGTCATGGGTAAGACTGCCGACCTGACTGCTGTCCAGAAGGCCATCATTGACACCCTCAAGCAAGAGGGTAAGACACAGAAAGACATTTCTGAACGAATAGGCTGTTCCCAGAGTGCTGTATCAAGGCACCTCAGTGGGAAGGAACAAGTGTGGCAGAAAACGCTGCACAACCAGAAGAGGTGACCGGACCCTGAGGAAGATTGTGGAGAAGGACCGATTCCAGACCTTGGGGGACCTGCGGAAGCAGTGGACTGAGTCTGGAGTAGAAACATCCAGAGCCACCGTGTACAGGCGTGTGCAGGAAATGGGCTACAGGTGCCGCAGTCCCCAGGTCAAGCCACTTTTGAACCAGAAACAGCGGCAGAAGCGCCTGATCTGGGCTACAGAGAAGCAGCACTGGACTGGTGCTCAGTGGTCCAAAGTACTTTTTTCAGATGAAAGCAAATTTTGCATGTCATTAGGAAATCAAGGTGCCAGAGTCTGGAGGAAGACTGGGCAGAGGGAAATATGATGTTTCCATTTTAAAACCTGATCACCATGACTTTAGTGGCGTTATCGGCTGTAACTCTATTTATTAGACCAGAACTCACTATGCCGTTCTGAACGCTGAAGCCCAGCTGGTATCTGAGGTCCGGCCTCCGAATCAGCACCATGGTAACCGGAGGACACCTGACGATGTTCATCTTGATCCTGGACTGGGATTTCAGCCCCTGGAAGAACAGGAACCAGTGATTCCTCTGGAGAACTGAGGATGTGTGATGGAGGAGGGCGAGGGGAGCAGCAGCGTACCTTGATGATGCTCTGGCAGGTGCTGAGAGGTAAACCCACCAGGCTCGTCCCGTTTACGGTCATGATCTGATCCCCGATGTTGAGTCTGCCGGATTTCTCCGCTGGTCCTCCGTGCATCATGCTGGCGATGATGACGGTGGGGAGGATGGACCCCCACCCTGACTCTACAATCACCACCCCCAGGATCTCGCCTTTCTGCTTCTCGATGTAAACCTGCAGGAGATGGAAGACGGAAGAAGGTCACAGCTGCGACTAGACCGGTGGTCTGTTCAAAGCCCCGGAGGGTCAATCAACACTAATGACACATACAGAGATGCTTTTATTGTGAAAAATAAGGTCTGTAAACATAAAAACAGAAATGAGATATTTAAGGCGTGGCGCCACCTGCTGGCTGACTTACGTCTCTGCAGTTCTCTGACTTGGAGAAGTGGATGAGGTCATCGTTGTACATGTCCTGAGTGTTGAGCAGGTCGCTGTACTCCCGCTGGCTCAGGTCCTCGGGGTCGATGCCGTTGGCCCTGAGGAACTCCTGGTAGGCTACGCTGAAGGACTGTCCGATGGACTGGGCAATGAGCTGGGCCTGAGCAGAGGAAAGCTGGAGCTCAGATCATTTTACCACGAGGCCTCCAAGTAAACGCTCCATGCTAAACTGGACTAGACTGGTCCCAGATGTTTCCACTCTGGTGCAAGTAAACCTTTAAAGAGCAAGTCACCCCTTACAAGAAGCGTACTTCACTCCCACTTCCTGTTTGAAAAATGCAACAAATACTGATGCCTAGCAGACCGAGAGGGTGGAGCCACTGACAAATACACACACTCACGACATTGTGACATCATAATGTACCAGTTTACATCATAGCATACCTCTTAGCCAATAGCGATGGCAGATTAAAATTCAAATGCAGTGCAGAGTTTTTACCTGACAACGGCACAACACTGACAGTTTCAGGCAGAATATTTAAATTTTAACTAAAATGCACTAAAGTGCAAAACTACTGACTACACGTGTCTGCAGCACAATTAGACACGCATTTATATAGTTTATCAGAAAAAAATTGTTGATTTGGGGGTGACTTGCTCTTTAATAAGCCTAAATTCAAAGAAAGGGGAAGATTTTGTACTTTTGTCACAGATTTATAAAACATCGGTTTCCTGTGGACCCAACAATAGTTCGTTTCCTGAGATATTTCCTTTTTATGCTTGGAAGAAGCCTCTGAAGGTCCTTCAGAGAGGACCGACTACTGATCGCATCAGGTTACTGGAGGATCTGAGTGCTTGAACAGAAAATATAAAGAAGTGGGCGACGTGGGGAGATTTTTACTAGCTAGTGTCGGATCCATCTCATGGGATTTGTTTCCTCTTCCACAACAACAGCATCAAATCACAGCTGATCTGTTCTCTTCCAGATTTCTTGTCGAGTTTAAACGCTAAAAAAAATAATTCTGGAAGAGATTAAGACATAAATGACTAAATAAATAAAGCTTAAGATCAAACATTTCAGGGTTCCATCCATCCTCTACCGATTATCAGGGGCAGCAGCATAAGCACAGAGGTCCAGACTTCCATCCCCCCAGCCACTTGGGCCAGCTCCTCCGGGAGATCCCAAAGCATTCCCAGGCCCGGTGGGAGACGTGGTCCCTCCAGCGTTTCTTGGGTCTTCCTTTAGGTCTCCTCCGGTTGGATGTGCCCAGAAAACCTCACCAAGGAGGCGTCCTAACCAGACGCCCGAGCCACCTCAACTAGCTTTTCAATGTTTAGAACATAAATAAATAAATAAAAATAATGATTGATAATTTATCATTAACTTAAAGATGCAGTTTGCACAACTGACACCCTGTGGCCAAATGTGGGTACTACAGTCCATTTTTTAAACAAAAACATTTTTCTCCCTGCTGGTCAGTTACAGATCAGCACCAGAAGATTCTAGATAACAAGCAAAGACGAGTCATACACAGTAAGTTGATAAGTAGATGAATACATCGTTGTGTCTGGTGTTAGTACTCTTGGGTATTTTACGGTAGGGAGCATTTACTGCACTTTTTACGGTAGTTTGTCTCCACCATTACAAAAAGTGCAGTTGTTTTGTCATCTTGGTGTTATAGTTCTGAACGACTCAAAGTAAGATGTAAAAGTCACGACTGACTCATTTTTCACGGTACTATCAAGACATTGGTCACTGAAAAGGTAGCTTGAGACGTTTTAGAGACTATTTGCTTCTAATTCCTCATGTTAGCTCAATGTTAGCCTCTAGTCTACTTCACCTGATATTAGAGCAAAAAAAAAAGGATGTGGATTCTTTAGGGGTACAAGAAATAACTACTTGGTCGCTCCTGTTTACTGGCTTAGGTTTTTTTAAACTCATGAGCTTTTTGCCTGCCAGTGTCGAGTTACAAATGCAGACTTGGCAACCTCAGAAACGCGGCATGGAAACCAAGCGGGAACACCCAGAACTGATCCCAACACGGAAATGCCAGATATTGCTGTTCCACCCTCATCCACTAGGGGCTGGCAGCAGAAGAGAGCTAATCCTCATTGACTCCCATGTTAAAAATGGAAATTTCACAGCAGAAATAAACATGTTTACAGCCTGGTGTAAAAACCCATTTTAGGTTTAATAGATCTAGTTTACACTCGTGAAAACTGAGGGGGGTGAATGCTTTGTAACTCTTCCATTTAGGTGTCATTTAATACTTTAAATGATGACTTATTAGATTTGATTGACAGGTAGCATGACTCAGGGCCAAAGTTAAAATGTAATTAAGAACACATCAGACATTTTATTCATAGATGACGTGTTAAAAGCGTTTTTAGTAACTCACGTCCTCCGATTCGAAGACGTGACAGATCATCCTGTACATCCTCCTGTCGTCGTGGGTCATGTTGGTGTCCTCCGCTGGGGTGTGGTCCAGGTTCTCCTGAGCACTGCGGGATCTCACCATCTTGCCCCTCGCCATCAGAACCACCATGTTACCAATGTCGGCTATGTAAGAGATGGTCCTCAGCGGAAGGTCCATTAAAGCCTCCTGGTAGCGAAAAACAGGTTAAAAGTTTTAAATGGTCTGTATTTGATATAGTGCATTCTAGAGTCCTGGAACCCCCCAAGGCACTTTACAACACAGTCATTCATCCATTCACACACACAAATTCACACACTGGTGGTGATGAGCTACAATGTAGCCACAGCTGCCCTGGGGCGCACTGACAGAGGCGAGGCTGCCGAGCACTGGCGCCACCGGTCCCTCCGACCACCACCAGCAGGCAAGGTGGGTTAAGTGTCTTGCCCAAGGACACAACGACAGCAACAGACTGAGCAGGGCTCAAACCTGCAACCTTCCGATTACAGGGCGAGCTCTTAACTCCTGTGCCACCATCGCCCATTTAAACAAGTCTGGTTTTCAGAAGAAGAAAAAAATATTAGCAAATATGTCGTATAATTTTTTTTAATAGTGAAATAATTATTTCTTTTATAGATTTTTTGTTAAACCCTTTTTTGGAGCTTTTTACCGTGTGAAATTCTTATTTCCTCATGAAAAATAACCCAAACCCACTTTAGGCTGCATTCATGCATTTTCTTCTTTCAGCTGCTAATTCTTTCACTTCAAGAGTAAAGCGTCACTGGAGACTCGTCTCGCCATCAGGCCCCGCCCCTCTCCTGGAAGCTAGTCTCTGGTCTGAAACCTGTCTCCTCCGGCCAGCACAGGACATGTGGCTTAGGCGGCTAGTAGCATGCAGCAGGCTTGGTAGTCAGGTGGTTAGCGTGCTCAGGCGGACGCCTTAACCACTGGACTACCATAGCCAATACAGCAACCCGAACCCTAAGATAATGTTGTAGGCGTGTTTTGTCGAAGCGGACGTGGGCGGAGTTTCACTGAAACAAAGCATTTTATTTCTGGTATAAATTCAGGTGGATGAAAATAACTCGGATTTAAGATAACTCATTTGTTCCTGAACAATGTAATCACACTACTGCCCTAAAAATAAATGCACAAAATGTAGCTACTACGTACTTAGCTTAGCTACTAACGTAGCACCACAGCTAACCGGGCTGTAAGTCAGCAACTCAGTGTTCAGTCACATTAACAGACTAAAGGTAAAAATCATCACCAAGTAAAAACGGTTTTAGCATGACTTGTTAAATTTTCAGGAGAACACGGGGGTGTTTCTCAATTCCAAGGAACCTCGCCTTGATGTCTTGGCCCCGCCCCGGTTGCCTAGGAGATACGTCATTGGGAGCCGCCAATACGTGTTCCAACGTTCATGTTCTACCGAGGCATGTGATCTCCGTTTGTTAGCCGTTTAGCTAGCTGAGCGAGGATACACGGGAGGTGTCTTGTAGCCTAGCCTTGGTCAAAAATTACCCAGAATACACCGCAATATTTTCAAAAGGATGGTGGATCAGAAGCCGGCAGCTACTTCGGGGACAATTTTCAAGTTTAAATGTATGCCAGCTAATTTAAAATGTTATTTTAGATCCAAAGAAGTTATCTATGGTTGGCTAGTTGGTCAGTAGTTGCAGCTGGTGGCTAGCGGGTAGTAACTCACTTATATATTTAATTTAATAAACATAAACACAATTTCTCGTTATATATTTATAATGAAACTGATAAGTATAAAATATAACATTATCTCCCGTGTCACGTGACGTTACGTGGCCGCCGTGGAAGCCGCGGTCACGTGATGCAAGTCTGTTCCATTTAACCGTTTTCTTTGACCAAGGAAGGGCCGTGTCCTCGTACGCAAGGAGCCTTGACATTGAGAAACACCCCGAGTCAGTGATCAGGCTCTGAGTGTCACACCAAAAACGGTCCGGGTGGAAACACGTTCTCTGTCTTTTTTTGACAGGAAGTGCTGATTCTACCATCTCTGCTCTGCAAGCCTTCCACGTATTTAGATTTTTCGCGACTTTTATTTGCCGTCTCGCTCATCTCAGCTTACTTTTCTGCTACCAGTCCTCTGACCACCGCCGACAAAGGCAAGGCAGGTGAGGCAGAATGCCCAGGAATGATCTGGGATCAAACCAGCAACCCTCCCGATTACTGGACAACCCGCTCTCCCTCCTGAACCGCTGCTGCACCAGATTTAGCTTTTCTCTCAGATGGACTTACGTTCCCGGAAGGTGCAAAATAGTTTGTTCTGACCCCCACAGACTAGCTTGTTTTTACCTGTGTGTCTGCATTGAGGACTTTGATCCTCTGTGTGGACATGAACAGGTCAACCTCAGCAGTGGATGGAGCCTCGCTGTCGGGGCTCTGCAGAAACGGTAAAGTAAGACGGAGATCAACAACAACGTTCTGATACTGGAGGACTCGTGTGTTTATAAGCGTCTAAACCAATGTGCTCATATTTAATTTTAATACCAGTTGAAATTAATTTCTGTACAAATGAAAAATGAATTCAGAGAAAAACTCACCTTCTTCCTGTTCTTTGCCTGCTTCTGAGCCGCCTGTAAAGACCAGAAATCAGAGAAAGACAAATGAAGACAGCAGCTGGAGATGCAGCAGATAGAAACCCGGCGCTGCAGACGCCTCGATTCCAGAAGCGGCTTACGGGTTGGTGTTATCAGAATGTGTGGGAGGCCAGTCATGTTGTCGTCTATCACATCTGACAGCAGCAGGATGCCGCCGGCCTTTGCGGCAAACCGAATCAGAAGTTTTCAGTGAATCAATGTGACACGAAGGAGCCTGAAGACAGAAGAAGGACCTCGTGTGTTTGAGGCCGACGCCTCGTCACGGCTCGGAGTGTGTGAGTGAACCAAAATGAACTCCCTCGCTTCTCCGGGTTTCATCTCCAACCTGCCTGCGCCTCTTCAGCAGAACCGAGCAGATTAAAGGGGATTTAATGAGATTACAGTGTTTTAAAAACTGTTTGCTGTATTAGAGTTTATGAATCATCTTAACGTTCTCCATGAATGACTTGTGGAGTGTTGCTCTGGGGCTAACTGACAGATTTCCAGAGGAACAGAAGTTAGGGATGCTGCCTTTTACCCATCATTCTCTGCTCTGTCAGGATAACCGGGTGTAACTGAAGCTACTGGTCCACTGATGGTCTGGCATGTGAGGAGGATCTTAACGGTAACAGTCTCACGCTGTATCCATGATAAATACAAACTTATTTAAAGAGGCATTATGTAAGTGTGACAGCCAAAACATGTATAGAAATAATAAATGTCTTCTTCATACGTTCTCCTGCAATGCCCTGGTCCTGTAGAATGAGCCCTGGCATTTTTACTGTGATTGCCTGTTTTTCTGTAAAATCACAGAAAAAGAGAGATGCTCGGGTCGAGCAGGCTGCTTCATGCGCATTCACGCTCAGGCATCGTCCTCCGAACCGTTCTTTGAACGTTGTTTCAGCTGTCATCAAGAATATAAAAGTTACAGATCCAGAAGACGCCGCTGGTGCTTTAGCTCGCCTAGCAAGACTTTGGGCTTTCGAGCAGATGACCTGGGTTTGATTCTGGATGTGAACATAGTTTATTCAGAGTTTCTTTTTTTACATTAATGATATATTTTTTACAGTAAGATGCCCAAATTTTTATTTGAGACTCGCCGAACGGCACTGAATTCACAGATAAAAAAGATGTGGGTTCAACTTTCATTTTGGAACAATTTTTCAAGCAAGGGAAGGGAATGATCTGAGCATGCAGGAGGACTGACCCATCATAAACCTTTGTCGGCTGTGCTGAAGAGAAAGCTACAGAACCACATTATTTAATTAATTAGCTGCTCGTTCTCCTGTCCTCTGTCCTCCGCCCCCGCCCCCCCCCCCCCCCACACACACACACGCACACCCGCACACACACACACGCACACACACAAGGGACTGTCTCAGCTGTTATTTTCATTAAGGAGTGTGCACGTACAGCATGCGCGCCTCGTGCACAAGCCTACTATTGAAGCTGCCGTTGCGCTTTTGGCCTGAGGGGGCAATCACGAGCATAAAAATTCAAAACTCCGTAAAGTCCCTTTAACCCTTTGATGCATGAATAATGAAATCTTCAACCACGATTTTTTAAACAATTTTTTTCATTCATATTTAGGTGTGAATGAAACAAATTTCAACAAATATCTTTTGTAAAATTTTGTTAATTTACAAATAGTTTATTACATGTCCAACTCAGGGGACAGTGTGCGTTCTGAACATGAAATATGTTGGCTTGACTTGCTGAAGCACAAATGGAGGGGCTCACATGCAATAAAGTCTTCAACAGCTGTGCTTAATAGCAAAAATAAATAAATAACAATTTTGAGTACCTGTCCACTGTAGTGACCATTATGCACCAAAGGGTTAATGAAGTAATGAACCTAAATCTTTTTTTACGGCCCTTTCAAGGTGTTCTAGAATGTAAAACTGCTGTTGCTGTTGAATAAACGCGGCTTGGGGGGTCTAATGTACCAAAAGGTCTGCGCCGCCTCAGCCCTGCCCTCCTGTGTAAGTCTGTGATGTCGTAACGCCGCTGAGAAATGGTTCGTTCTGAGAAAAGCTGGTTTAACATGTCATACGCTTAGACACGCCCTCTTAAGTTAGCACTTCCCAACCCACTTAAGCATCAACAACATATAAACGTTGGTGCCAGTGATGCTAACCTCAGTCCGAGCTGCTGCTAACGCTAACCTGAGCCTGCTGAATGAGAGGAAAACCGTAAAGAAGGATGTTGGAGTACGCAAGTAGCACTCAATGTACCGGGGTACCAAAGCTCTGAATGCCAGGTAGGTGAGCCTGCGTTCCTCGGTTGTCCACACCCCCATCCTGGAGGAGGGTAATGTGTCCTGATCCAAAGCTGTTTGACGACACGGTCTAACCCCCCTCCCTGGGTCGTTTATCAGTAACAGGTCCTTTCCCACCACTCAGCAGGGCTCAGCTCTACACGGTTTGGGTGGTTTTTCATTGCAGCTAAGAAACTGCTCTAGTGGGGGGCTTCATTGTAGCGGGGTGGACCCCAGAGTTTAAAATAAAATGGGAGATCAACATCGCACGACAAAAGAACACAACAACGGGGTGACGGGGCAGAGGACTTAGGTGCCCGCCGTTTGTTTTTGTTGTGCATACGGAAATAAATGTGAGGGTGCAACCGCCCCTGAATTTGGACACCACCTCAGTAGTCCACACACACACACACACACATGCACACACACATGCACACACACACATGCACACACACACACACATGCACACACACACATGCACACACACACACACACACACATGCACACACACACACACATGCACATGCACACACACACGCACACACACACACACACATGCACACACACACGCACACACACACACACACGCACGCACACACACACGCACGCACACACACACACACACTCACACACACGCACACACACACACGCACGGACACACGCACGCACACACACACACACACTCACACACACACTCACACACACCAGATTACAGAGTTTATTTCGTGTGAACGCCGTGGTTGCGCTCTCTGCCTGCAGGAAGACACTAGTGTCTGCTCCGTGTCTCCGTGCGTCCCCCTTCATCCCTCCGGACCCGTGGTGGACGTCGCTGAGTCTCCGCTACCAACAGTCATGTCAACAACACAGACTCACGCCATCACTAGCAGACAACTTGTGTAACATTCAGCCTCCATCCCTTGATTCTGCCCGACTCATCTGTCATCAGATGTTGTGTTTCTGCTGAATTTATTATTATTCTGTTTGCATTTCTGCCGGTTCCTCTCTTTGCTCCTTCCTTATTTATGTCAGAACACGGAGCTGCACAGAGTGGCTGCAGCTGCACAAAACTGCACATGAAGATTTCTAGGAAATGTTTTGTGATATTCAGCAGCTCTCACTGCCTCTCAGACCTCCTCCTGCATCACCACGAACCCCCTTACTCAGCCAGCCTCTCCCAAACATCACCTGAATCATCCAGACCGGACTCAAGTGGAATATATAGTTTTATGATGTATGAAATATCCTCTGTGCAGTGTAATGCTCTGCACACGTCACATTTCCTCCACTTGTTTCCCAGGAACAAAGTTAAAAGCCCCCCCACCGCGTGATTTGTGTTTGACTGGAAGAGAAAGCGTGGTCCCGGGTCTCCGAGGCCCCGCGGCCTCATAAAGCAGCAGGAGAAAAGGACCTGGTGAGAGTGGATAAGAGCACTGACCCGTAGACGATGCACTGCCTACAAACCCGCTGGCTGCATTGCGCACAGATCCTCCGTCACACACACCACCCTCCATGTCTAAGTAAGTCTAAAATATCAGCCCAGATTTAATAGTTAATATGCAAAAAACACACACAGTGGATAAAATGTTTCGAGGAAATAGCAAAAACGATTTAGAAGGAAAAATCTAAGCTGGCGTGTTATTGCAGCACCATTCTACCAGCGGCTGTGTGTGACGACGTGTGACTCTGCTGCTGAGTCTTAACGACATGGCGTTCATTTACCCGTCTGTGATAACTCGTTACACATCCTCTACATCATTCATCAACTTGCACAACTTCAGACTGCAGCTGCAGCTTCGTCACAAACTTCGGGGCTCCAGAAGGAGACATTTTAATGTCTTCTTCTTAAGTTGAGATCTTTCTACGGTCGATAAAAAACATGTTCGTGAAGCTCTTTACACTAAATCCCTCTCACACAAAGAGATTTAGACAATTTTATTCTTGACAGTTTCAGTACCTTCCAGAATGAGCTGTTTCAGGGCTCTGTCACTGTAAGAAAACCAGCTGTTGCCGACCACGCCCAGCTCCCCCCTGATTGACTGCTATAAGCTGAGAAGCTCCAATATCTAGGAGGGGCTTGGAGCAGCTTCCTCTTGAACGTGAGAGGTGGTTTTATTCTACTTTCCCCATTTGTGACATCACAAACAGGAACATTTTAAAAGGCTTTTTCAGGCATCAAATTCCTAAAACCAAACACAGAAAAACCGGACGGATGTTTTTATTTCACGTTTGGCATGTTTACGGAGGCAGTAGAGACCCACACGGCAGCACAAAAGGATGGAAAAGGTGAGTTTTTCTTATGTTCTGTAACACTGAGGAAGCTGCGTTTTTACCGCCCCCAAAAGGTGAGTTTGTAAATAATTTCATGAATAGTGACATCACAGGAAGTAGGACGTTTATGGATACTCACATGAGGTTGGATGGCTGACAGCGATCCACATGCATCTGCTTCCATCCTTCGTCTTTTGAGCTATCGTCTGTTCTGTTTCTTATTTTTACCTCTCTGGTTCTATGGTGATATTTTGCAACATCAAAGAGTTTATTCTGTAACGTTCATAAGTTGTTGAAGAGTAAAGTCATCCTTGCTTCTAAAATGTGAAATAATGGTTCTGTAGGTGATGTTTTGCTGCTGATACAATACCTGCTGTATTTGTGCTAAATGTTTATTTCAGTTTCACACTTTCGTCGTTATTGAAGCCACACTATGCACATTTTAAAATCTTTTTTTTTTAGCCAGTTTGTG